TTCTTAGAGTCAATGCCTGAAGAGTTGAAGAAAAAGGTCAGCAAAGTCGAGAGAAACTTGAGTTTTTGTTTTGGAGACGGACACGCGGTTAAATCTATCAAATGTGTCATGTTACCCGTCAAGTTGTGTAAAAGAGATTTCATGTTAGAAACATTTGTGGTTCCAGGAGAATTACCCTTTTTGTTTTCTAGATGTAGCATGAAGCAACTGGGGGTATCATTAGACATAGAGAATGATCAGATTATGATTGGCGGAGAACGGCAACAACTGAAAGTGACCAAATCAGGTCATTACGTGGGAGATATCATGTTATGGGAAAATATGAAATCAGAGAAATATACCATTGAACAAACTGGTAGGGAAGAGAGTGTAAGGAAAGAGGAGAATGTTGATAGTGATAGTGACAGTGAAGATGAAGTCTGTCCGAATGAATCAGAGGAAGTAAGCAATGAACCATCAGCAGAAGGAGTGGAAGTTTCGAGTGGAACTGAAACTTCAATAGATGAATCTGGTAATGTAGAGATCAGTAGTGAATAAGTGAAGTCAGAAAGTGTCGGTGATGAAAATAGAGACACAAGTGAGCCTGATGAATTTCAGAGTGCTTCTCGTCTGATGAGAATCAAGACTGGGTAGATGTTGTAGTCAAGAGGAATAAGGTATTAGACTTTAAGAGGGAGGATGTCATTAGGTATAACTCAGCAGATCATACCAACGATGTGTGGCAGAGAGCAAGTGTAATTGGACCTGGATGGAAAGAAAATTCTGTAAGGAAGGAAGACATCAACGTCTGGAACTTGGTGAAAGAACCAGAAGGTACAACAATTCAATTGCGTCTCAGTGAGTGTCAAGTGCAGAAAAAATCACATGATTCTCTTAACACAGAGTCTAGTATTGATACTGTGATGATACCAAAGGAGAGATATGGTGAGGTGTGTAATCAGTTTATCATTTTGTGGAGACACAGTACGATCGAAGACAGAGAGCTGATAAATGGAGACACAGAGAGCTGATAAATGGAGACATAGACGGGTCAGAGACAAAGGCTGATAAATGGAGACACAGAGAGCTGATAAATGGAAATACAGACGAGTCGGAGACGAGATCTGATAAATGAAGACACAGTAAGGAGACAAGTACTGATAAATGAAGACACAGTACGGTCGGAGACGAGAGCTGGTAAATGAAGACACAGTACGGTCGGAGAGGAGAGCTGATAAATGGAGACACAGTATGGTCGGAGACAAGTACTGATAAATGGAGACACAGAGGGGTCGGAGAAGAGATCTGATAAATGAAGACACAGTAAGGAGACAAGTACTGATAAATGAAGACACAGAGGGATCGGAGACGAGAGCTGATAAATGGAGACACAGACGAGTCGGAGGCGTGAGCTGATAAATGGAGACATTGACGGGTCGGAGACGAGAGCTGATAAATGGAGACACAGTACGGTCGGAGAGGAGAGCTGATAAATGGAGACACAGTATGGTCGGAGACAAGTACTGATAAATGGAGACACAGAGGGGTCGGAGAAGAGATCTGATAAATGAAGACACAATAAGGAGACAAGTACTGATAAATGAAGACACAGAGGGATCGGAGACGAGAGCTGATAAATGGAGACACAGACGAGTCGGAGGCGTGAGCTGATAAATGGAGACATTGACGGGTCGGAGACGAGAGCTGATAAATGGAGACACAGAGTGGTCGAGGACGAGTTACGGGAGAATGCGGATATGCTGGAAGGAGATACAGAGTCAGGATGACTCGCAAAATTGATATAACAGTCAGAATGAGTCATAAGATTTATATAACAGTAGTTATATCGAAATAACAGTGCAATATCAGTGATCACAAAAAATCAGATAAATCAGAAATTACTTGGAACTGAAAGAACTGTCGATATTGAAATGAAAATTAAAACAAAGTCTTAATAAATAACTATCGGAGAGTATCACCCAACAGGGGCGGTGAGGAGAAGATGGGTAACATACCTGGAGTACAAGAGAGACACTAAACCCACGGATTGACATGCGTAGTACATCAACTTGTATTCTGAACAGAGACATCGAACGAGATCCAGAAGAAGATATCTGGAAGGAGAAAAGAGACATGAAACGAGATCCAGAAGAAGATATCTGGAAAATATTCAGAACGAGGAGCGGAGACCTGGAGTGAGAGCCAGAAGAAGATATGTTGAACAACGAACGGAGACTCGGGACCGGATCCGGATGAGGATGTTCGCAACGAAGAATGAGACGGGGATAAAAAGAGACGAAAGAGAAAATGGACAGGTAAAGTAAGCCGTCAAGTTTGGATATTGTGAAACTTTATTAAATTATTGTACCAGTATAGTAAGGTTCTAAGAAAGAACATATTTTGTAAAGTTGTGTAAGCTGTGATCGGGCAAGAGATATGGTCTATAGTAAGAGATTTTCCATTAAATTATTGTACCAGTATAGTAAGGTTCTAAGAAAGAACATATTTTGTAAAGTTGTGTAAGCCGTGACCGGGCAAGAGATATGGTCTATAGTAAGAGATTTTCCATTAAATTATTGTACCAGTATAGTAAGGTTCTAAGAAAGAACATATTTTGTAAAGTTGTGTAAGCAGTGATTAATTGAGATGAATTTAGGGTAATATTGTGTAATATGTAGATAGTGTAATGATTATAATAAGGCGGTCGTGGGGTCCAGTATGTGACGGTAGTATTTTGGGCATATATTAGTATACGACAGTTATTGCAGTTTAAGTGCAGAGAGGTCAGTTTAACATATGTTTGGGTCAGTACGAGGTTGAATTATGGAATGTTTACAGAATACTAGTGTTACAATGTTGCGGCTATCGACAGGATAGTTTGAGATTCCAGGGAAATGAAGGATTGTTTAGACTATCAGGGGCGAGAGGAAAATACGATTAGCCTTTTGAGGTAGAGAGTGCCAGTTTACCCGATCGAGAGGGGGGTCATTTTGATACCGGGCAGGTTCTGTAGCTAGAACCTGTTAAGGTTAGGTCGTTTAGTTAGGTAGATGGTTATAGTGGTAAGTATAAGATTGGCGGCCGTAGAATAGTGGAGCATTACGTAATTACTGTTATCAGGCTTGGTTGTGGCCGACACCAGGGGATGTCTTGACAACACTGGGCTCTGGCAGAGCGGGAGTCAGCAATGGTTGACTTAGATAGGTAAAGCTAGACTAAGAGTAGGAGCTAGAACCGGTTAAGGTTAGGTCGTTTGGTTAGGTAGATGGTTATAGTGGTAAGTATAAGATTGGCGGCCGTAGAATAGTGGAGCATTACGTAGTTACTATTATCAGGCTTGGTTGTGGCCGACACCAGGGGATGTCTTGACAACACTGGGCTCTGGCAGAGCGAGAGTCAGCAATGGTTGACTCAGATAGGTAAAGCTAGATTAAGAGTAGGATTAACGGCAGGAAGTAGGTTGCGTACTATTTGAGGCAGTATGAATCGGAGCAATTAGGAATTTGGTGCACAGCATTTGAGGCAATATGAGTCTAAGTGACTAAGCGTTGGTTGAGCAAATATTCGATTATTCATTGTTCAGTTAAGTACCTTGGGCACCTTTATTATACCCCTTGTTTGCATTCTCACCCTATTCGATAGAGGGTCATGGTTGATACCAGACTAGTGTAAGGGACCAGGACCAGTTATGGTTGGGGCCTGGTGAGCACGGATGGAACGTGTCGTTAGAGGTTTAGAATCGACAGTGGTTATTTCAGGGCACCTAGATTAGGCACGGTCAAGGCGAGTTGACCGTGCTATCCGTGTTTTATGTTGCAGCACTAGATCGCTGAGCGTTTATGGGCGATACGAGTCTGGTTAATTAGGATTTGAAGTAGAGGTGGTCGAATTATTCATTGTATTGTTTCATAGTTTAACTTTGTTTACCCTTTATTATCACGCTCGTTTCCATTGTCCAAACCCTTAATTAAATGCAAATAAACTTCGAACCGGGAAGCAAGTGTCCACTGCTTACAAATGTTCGAAATTAAATTATATTAGGGTCGTTCACATATTACGCAATCGGCCGAGGTGGGTTTTTGAAATGATTACGCTAGTGTAAATTTGACACAATAGCTATATTGTTGACACACGCTGCAACCCCTTTTGATCGCGCGCGAGAGGTATACAACGTGTACAGTGTAGCAACTATATTGTATATATGAAACTTGCTCTAACCAGAGCCCTCTCGCTTGCAGTAGCGCGCGACCGCCGAAGCTGCGGCAAAGAGGTAATATATTTTACTTGTGCATTGTGAAACAAGCGCGTCACGCAGTAAGCGTATACTTGTAGCGCGATGCACTACTGGGTCGCGCCGCGCATCAAATAATTCTTCTCTTCGGTAGATCGGCGAGATGCACCACTGTGCCTCACCGAGCTGCGAAGGATTGACATCGTGAATCAAGCGTATACACATTATACTATGTGAAGCTGAGTGCCGCCAAGTAAGTTATTCCCGTGAATTTATTGTCATACGTTGTATGACCCGCCGCGCACGAGAGCGCGGCTCCCCCTGTATCGTTCAAACTCTACAGTGAAACTCTATAGTGAAACGACCGTGGGGGTCACGATGTGATACAATGAATTTACTGATCACAGTGTGTTCATCGAGTGGCCAAATTTGAAATTGGTTCACTCGGTATTCACTATTCAAGACTTGTATGTTCCATAGAGAAGCCTGCTTTAATATCAAATTGATGACATAGGGTATCATCGAATCAAAACGATAGCACAGTGTTGTTAGAATATTTCGGCGGGCTTGTCTCCCAGTATATACAGCGATGATAAGAATGACAATATAACAAATCTATATATGCGCGGCGTGACTAAATTTGCCGCCACGCTGACTTTGTTACACAAATTCATGACATAAACTAGCAATAGGTCGCGCGTGTACCACCATTCTCGCACAGCGCCAGCTAGAACCATCCTAGTTGGTGAACCATTGGCAGCAGATCAATTAACGAAAAGAGACACTGAAAACAGTTGATTGAAAGTGAATCATGATTCATTACTCAAATTTGTAAACATATTCTTTTTATGAAACGATTTACATTCATTAGTCCGACCCAAAGCAGACTTAAAATTGACCTTAACAACGAAATTTAACCTAAATTTAAAGCAAATCAATGCATTTATATGCACAACAGGTACAATTCAATTCCTATTTTCAAAGAAAAGATCCGTTTAAGGAAGATAAGACGAAGTATTTGGATAAATCCGGGAATTTACCTACATTTGGTGTTTTATATACATAATGGTAGTGAAATATAAACAAAAAGAATGCATCTACACTGCCTATAAACAAAATAGTCGCATCTACGCTGTTCACAAACCGTTAATAAAACAACTTTTCGTTCAGTCCTCGTTGTCTAAAAAGTTTGATGAATACCAATCAGCCACCACCTTTTTATCCACCTTTTCGTACGTCTTGATTAACGGATGTTGCAAAAGACGCTCATATTTCGGTCTAAGATAGACATCCTTGATGAGGCAAATACCGATAAAGTCTACAAACTCATCTGAAAATCCCAGACTAGGGTCCAAGGTCGGGGGTGGCGAGTTGATAATCTCAGTCATGAGAGAAAACTGAACAGCAGTATTGTTGTACGGGTACTTACAATTGGCCAGCTCGATCAGGGAGATCCCTAAAGACCACACATCAGCCCTAATATCGTAACTAGGACTATCCTGGTCAGGTGGGTCTATTCTCTCAGGGGACATGTAAGCGGGGCAACCCTGATCACGTGTCCACACTCTGCTGTCCACCAGGTTTCCCTGCTATCCCAAAATCGCAGATCTTAACCTGGCCGTTTCTATCTATTAGGATATTGCTGGGTTTCACATCTCGGTGTATGACGGAATACTGTCGTTTCAAGTAATCGAGTCCTTGGACCACGCCCACAGTTATTTTACCCAGAACTTTCTCTGGGACACCTCCGATATGGTTCATTTGCTTCATTTTCTTCTGTAGTTTGTCAAGGCACGTGTCCATTGGTTCCATACATATACAAACGTCTTGTTCGGTGATGTAGGCGCCGTAAGAGTTGATAATGTGGGGACACTGGTGTTGTTTTATCACGATGTTGAGGTCAGTAAATATCCGCATTTGTTCTCGCATGTCCTGGGATTTAAGTTAATTAAACAAGTGATTAGATGATTGTTCTTATTTTAAGAAGTATTCATGGAGTGTTGGAGCTGTTGAAGAAGTAAATTCGAGAAGTTCAAAACTTAGATTGTATCAGTAATGATACTTGCGATATAGTGAGATTGGCTCCTAATATGACAAAGCTAAAGATAAGCCTTGCAACATGGTGTTATCCCAAGGTTAAATAAGCTCAATAAATTCTATGTTTCTAGATGAACAAGAATGTAACATTTAGAAATAACATAATCAGTCTTATGCATATTGTCGATCTAAAGAAGATCTCCAATCATTTGGTCGCATTGTCTAGCCCAAGAAATATGATCACCAAAATGAAGGACCTTCAGTATCAGTTTCAATAAATGTTTTACATAAAAAGAGGTATCAATCGTTAATGGAATTACACCAAAATCCGTCCCATGAAATTAAAATAAACCTGAGTTCTTCTCATTCGCTTTACAGCCATTCGTACACCAGTTGGAGTGTGTTTCATCAACTGACAAAGAATTTTGTATCAGCAAATGTACATATTTTGTAGTTATTCACGGAATTATTAGACCTGTTTAAGAGGAAAGGAAAAATGTTGGCCACTATATTTAGAAGTGTATAACAGCACGTGACGTCATCACAATACCATGTGACGTCATCACAACACCACGTCACTAACCTGAACGTTGCCACATGCTCCCTCTCCCAAATGGGACAAGTTCTCGAAGTCCACTCCAGACACGGTATAGGTTTGTCCGTCTATTCGTAACTCGGGGTTAAAGGTCTCAAAATCAAACAAGTTACTCGAGTTCTGAAAATTAGATACTATAAATTATGTACAAATCACAAGAAACACTGAATACTGGTAATACATTATCTTCAAGAAATGCAAAATAAAAGAACAATAGATTTTATAACATCTATTGGACGTTTTGAAATGGAATATTCTCAAAAAGTGCTCACCCTATTAGTTGAATTCCCGTTAGTGGACAAAGCGGAGTTGTTGTTTTGATGAAGGAGCGGTAGGTTAGGAGGAGGTCGTCTAACATCCAGCAACTGGCCACCCCTGCTTCCCAGGTTTAGTCCCATACCTGACAATGTGTACACATTTCTTATCTTGATTATATTTTGAGAGATAAGATGTGGTCGTTCATGTGGTATTCGCAGATAACAGATTTAATTTAACAGCTAGATTATTATAAGGATCAGATGAGGTTGAGATTAATCCTCGATTTACGAGAAAATTGTGTTACAGTTCTGTTAACTCTTATAAGTTGAAATGCTGACCCATTTAAAATGAACGACCACTTTATGCGACTTGAAGAAAAATGCAAAGATTTTTATCACACCAAAAGATGAAAAGAATGTACTAAAGATAGGCTATTTAGTAGAACTAGCAGTTCAGAAGTTGCAGAAGATGTGTTCTTAATGCTATGATTTATGAAGAACTATGTTTTATGCTATCGATAAAACCTGTTTTTGTGCTGATCTAGGTAAATCAGAGTCAATTTTCAAAGATTGAAAATATTGCTCTTTATCTACGACCATTAAGTTGCATGGAAATATTCTAAGGTTCATTTTAACAGTCCGATCACATACCATACCGGACTAGGATTTAGTAAATTATGCTTCAAAACTTAGGCTTACCTACATTGATGTTTATATATGAATTACAATTAAAAATTGTACATGACTAAAATTTATTGATCATTGAAATAAGCAGCATTCTCTCGTGTAATCAACCATAACACAATTCACAACATAATTTTTCAGATCACACATTGCAAGAAAGCAGCACATCAAGCACAGCCCAAATTTCCACAGCACATAACAGGGGGTCTGGTGGCGCTGCGCTCTGAAACCACGCAGCGCTCAGCACATGATAACACTCACCACGTCGCACAGCTTGCACTTACCCGGTCGCGTGCGCCCACCGCTGCCTTCAGATCTGCGGGATGTCATAATTAAACTCTGGGGACGGGGCCGCCGCTCGACCGCCGTCCCTTCGCCACTTGTCGGCGATTGGATGAGGGATTGCGGGCGCTGCCGCATGCGCCGCTGCTCGGCGGGCGCGGAGGATACTCGTCTGTAAGGGTGGTGTCAAGTTCTGCTGGTAAAGCTTAGACACAGTATAACAGTGTAACACAGTGTAACACAGTGTAACACAGTGTAACACAGTGTAACACAGTGTAACACAGTGTAACATAGTGTCACACAGTGGAGTCTGTATTATAACCAGGTAGTCTGTATTCTAAATCTATCAAACTAGGCGTGAGGATATCCGGCTACAATAAATATTGTAAACAATATTGTGAGTATATTATATTATACAATAAATATATATAAAAGTATATTTTGACATTCCGTGATGTGTAGACTGAGCTGTGGGTACCTAACTACGACAATTCCCTGCTAATCTGTCAAATCTCGTCTTATTTCCACACTCAATTCTAATGTCTTGCACCCTGGGGCCTGGGCCTGCCTATTTAGTGTAACTTTACGAGTATACACTACGTGACAACACATGACATGCCATCAAATACTCCACGTGACGTCACACCACGTGATGTGACGTCACACCACGTAACATCATGTGACGTGTAAGCACGCTGTTGTACGTACTGTATAACAGGAGAAGAGGGCGTATCTCCGCCTCTTATCCTCATTCTCTGTAGCCGGTCATACAGCGCCGAGGAGTCTGGCATTCCTGAGAATACACAATTAATTAATTAATTAATCAATTAATCAAGTGGTTGCTCGAATAACTAACATATTGATGATTATATTCTATGTTCATTAAATTAAGTAACTTATTTGATCAACAAATTGATGAAGTAATGTCAACACGACTGATGATAGACTTTGACAGATTAAAATAAAAGTTGGGGAGCAGTGAGCACATTAGGGGATGGAGCGGAAGGGAGGGGGAGGGAAGAGGGGAGGGAGGAGGGGAGGGAGGGGACTGGGGAGAGAGGAGAGGGAGGAGGGGGAGGGAGGGGGTAGGGCCGGGGAGGGAGGAGGGGAAGGGAGAGGGAGGGAAAGGGTAGGGCCGGGGAGGGAGGAGGGGGAGGGAGAGGGTAGGGCCGGGGAGGGGTAGGGCCGGGGGAGGGAGGTGCTGGGAGGGGGCCTTCATAACCAACTAACCTCCTTTAGACATGATGAAAGATGAAGATTAGTTATTACAGGAATAGTACAAACATCTGTATTTACACACTAATAACAGTAGGTTAGTAAGTTAATACAGAAATAGTTTCATTACTTGTTGAGCAATTCGGCAGCAGGTAAATTCACTGAAGTCCCCTTTCCCTCCTGAATTTCAAGTAAAATGCGATTTGTCTCCCGCTTAGATAAGAAACAAACACCGAATAGAATTCGATAAAAAACATTTTAATTTTATCATTGAATTTGAAAAAAAATACGAAAATACGGATAACCTCGAGCTCCCGAGAGAAAGTTAAATTTAACTCAGAGCCAAACACTTGGTAATAAATCTGCCCTTGAAACTGAAATAAATTTGAACAAGTTTGTACAATTTTAACAATCATGAGCTTTAAATTCTAAAATAACTAAGTTTTAATATCTAATCTAGATTGCTATATTTAAATATCTAATCTATTTCTAAAGGAAGGGCTACATTATAATGACATACAGAACAATTAATCAGTCGAAGTCAATCCATCGATTTTGGATAATTAAAAATAATAAGTATATTCCAGCAGGATTTTGCACTGGATTCAATAAATCTGATTTTATAGTCTCATCAGGACAGCGTCTTGTTTCCAACTCAACATCAGCAACATACAATATAAATATCAGGACTTCAAACTGACACCCCTCATTTTTACCACACTCACTTCTGAATTATCTCTGAGCAGAAAGAACGCTCTGCCCAAACTGTCGAGTCTACAGCACGTGAAATGACGTCACACCACGTGCTATGACGTCACACCTACTTCGAGAAACTCCCTAAGTTGTTCTGCTGAAAGATAGTAGAGGAACTCATCAGATTCTCAATATACTGGGTCAGGACCTGGTTCTCTGATTTCAGCTTACTGTTCTGTTCCTTCACAGAATCAACACGTTGCGCTAAATCATCCAGTGTGTTCTGTAGTTCCACTACTTCTTGGATTAGCTGCCGCTTGTATTCCTCCTCATTTACACTGTTATCTGTGCCGTTTTCATCCATAGTGCATACCTAGGGGTGAAATTTTCAGTTGTTATCGAGTTGTTAATTTTAAGAGCTTGGGAACTTATTCGGAGTATATTTAATGAGAAAACCATCGAATACCTGACCTTTTAAAGCATGCATACTTCCAAACTGGGGCAGCTTTAAGTTGGAAACATTTTGGTTAACATATAATTGTTTCAGGAGATAAATTAAATACTTTCATCTATACTTCAGTCTTGTAAAGTTGTAATAAAATCAAATAACCGCTAACATCATAATATAAAACATTAAACGTCAAGAATCTAGAGCAGTGGGATGTCTACAATTTCAAAGCAGGATTAGCCAGTGTTATAAAGATTTAACTCAGGTGTACTGATATAACTATATAACTAAACCTCTGGAGTAAATTGGATTTACTTTAAGCATTCAGGAAGATATAATTATTACAAGCAGGTTATTCATGGGGAAACTAGACAAGAGCCCGACACAGCACCGTGGAATTCCCAAGCATATTACGATGAAATTCTACCCTATACTAATCATATAGGTACTAACCCTAACCAAGTTCTCTAACCATAATCCTAATTCCACTGAACATCTAGGTGGTTTATATCAGGAATCCTAGATGTAAAATTTGAATTTTGTAAAACTACAAAAATATTCATGATCTTAAAATGATCAAATAATACTGAATAACTCATTCTTCTCTGGTCGATATAGTAACACATCAGGTCTTGATTTGACAAGGACAATATTAAACACCGATACATTCTGGTTATCTTATCTCTTTCTCTCAATAATGAGCATATTGCAATGTAATGAACACTGATTTTAGTGTAGTGGGGTAAAATATTCTTCAGGATCCTGACTCTGAAGTTAGCTCTATCATGATAACATTAGTGTCTTCACTGCTAGCAGCGATCTTGTTACCAGTACTGTTCCAACAAACGTCTGATATCACACCGCCACCCTGATAATTGTTAACTAACATCCCATCCTTCACACCCCATATCTTGAATGTTCTATCTACTGACCCACTGGCTAAGAACCTACCACATGGACTAAAACAAATGGAAAGCACAGCGCACGTGTGTCGGTTGTAGTTCTGTAAACAATCCCCAGTTTTCGCATTCCACAGACGAACAGTGCTGTCCTGACTAGCGGTTGCCAGAGTGAATTTCTGCTCTTTGTGTTTCGGTGGCATCCATCTGACAACCTCAACACTACCTAAATGTCCTTGTAGAGTGTGCAAACATTCCTCAGATTTCAAGGACCATATCCTAGCTGTTCTATCCTCAGAACCTGATGCCAAATAAGTTCCCGACTGATCCCACCGCAGAACATTCACTTCGCGCTCATGGCCTTTGAAGTATTTGATAGGCTTTTCTAAACCCAATCTACAAACATAAATAACAGTGTTATTACTACATGCTGCAAAAGTTTTCTCATTCTGCCAGTGTATGTCCATTGTTGCTTCCATTAGATTACCCGGATTGAATTTGTAGTCTTGAAATTGCTGTGCAGTCTGAAGATCAATAACAACCACAGAGGGGGACATCCCTCCAGTCACTAGATATTGTCCTTTGCAATTGAATTTTAATGCAAATATTGGAGCACCATGTATTTTGAAGGTGTGTAAGAGTTCGCCAGTACTCTTAAAGATTTTAGTGCTGCCATTCAAACACCCACTTGCTAAGAACTCTCCATTGGGACTCCAATCTAAAGCTGTTATATCTAATTTCTTATCATTCCCACTACACGTAGCATGTTTTAATACTATTGGCTCTTTCGAGGTATCCACCATGTCCCATATTCTGATAGTGCTATCACCTGATCCAGTAGCTAGTTTGTCGGTTACTGGATTCCAAACACAACTGAAGACTTCTTTGTCATGCGGGAAATGTCTTATATTATCCTTATTGATAAAAACAGTTTCTTTGGACTCCTCGTCCTGTTCTTCAGTCTGAAAGTTTTCTGATGGCAAGGAAGTCCCATTTTCAAAAGCAGGTTGTTCCTCTACCGTGTCAAGCATCATTGTGACATCTGGATCCTCAAATTTGACATGAGGGATATCGTTTTCATTGTTATCGATGTCATAAGACTTAGGAACTGCATTAGTCATTGTCCTTGAGCTTATACCATAAATATCAGGTATAACAGCTTCTATTAAACTTAACGAATCACTGTCTGTTGCTAACAGTCCATCATCTGATAGGGATATCTCAGCCTGTACAAACTGCAAGCCTTTCTGTAATATTGAAATGAGAGCACCAGGTGGTACTAAAGTTCCATCAATGTTACAGCTGTTTGTGTGTGATTCCAGATTGAACACAAATGCTGTGTGCTCAAAACCAGACTCCTGAAGGTAACGGTATACAAGGTAGTTGATCTCATCTGATGTCATGCACATGGTTTCCCCTACTGAAAGTATAAGGGTTATAGACAAGCTGGATACAAATACAGTTAACTCTTGATAGTTGATTAACTGGATTTTGTTGTACTATAGATTCATGTTAAAATAATATCATGCAATGAATCCCTAATACATCCAGAGTGTACTGTATTATTGAAATTCTTAAGAATAAAATCAAACATTCTAATTGATTTTCCCCTGCATGTGGTTAATGAGACTTCTGAGTTGTTTTCTTGAGCTTAAGTTTGACAGCAATTAGATGTTTTTCAGACATTCCCGGTTTATAACAAACCCATTATTAACAACCCATTATTCCTAATAGAAAAAACTGCTGACGTCAACTGGTTCAGTGGTAGTATTGATAAGTAATAGGTTGTTACCGAAAGGTCACAGGTTCTTAAAGGCTACACCATTTTCTGGATAGTGTTTATTAGGTCTAGGCAGCGCCAAATGATCAAGAAACCGTGATTGAGTGTTAAATGAAGGGTTACCTTTCCCCAAGGTTTTAAATCTTGCAAGGGTACACTTCAGTAAACAAACATTGGAGTGTACCATAACTTATAACCGATAGAAAATAATTCAACCAATATACACAGATAATTCCAGCAGTTGTCCATATATAAGATTAGACACCCTCAAAAATGTACAAACCAATTTAATAGATTACACAATACAATCATAGACATATCAGGGTCAGTGGCGTAACGAAGGGCCCCGCTGACCCCGCTGTGCAGGGGGGCGCCGTCTTAAGGGGGCGCCAAATCGTCGTTTGAATGTGGGACAATTTTGAAAACTTAACTAAAGTACTAGCAAAACTGCGCATTCTGCTCTAGATACACACTTTTTTAGAGATTTTACCGGCATATCCTCTAAAATCACCTAATTTGTTCAATTTTAGGGAGGGGCACCAAAAGGGGAGGGGCGCCAACAGGGGGCGCCTTTTCGGCAGGGGGGCGCCAACAGGCAACGTTACGCTACTGATCAGGGTTGAATTTATAAGAAAACCCTTAGTTGTATATGTAGCCCATTGAAAATAAAATCCCACTTCTCAGATGCTATGCACAGTTTAAATTGCCAGTGCAACGAGCTAGCAATGTAATTTACAGTTAGTACAAAATGATACATTCTATCAAATTATGGGGTGCAGCTAGTAGGACACATTGCACAACGGAAATAGTCTATTGCTGCGTAAATTATTTGAAATCACTATAATTTCAGTATCGTCCGTAAACAAATCAGTCAAATTCTGTTGGTAATATTCAAGTAATGTGGGATTTTGACAAAGCTAGATTAGATTAGATTAGATTAAGAATAATGACATAAACATCATCACTAGTTTTAAAAATTCTTTCTGATTTCCTCATTATCAGAACTGTGAACATTTCACAGCCTTCGTCATTAAAAAAAACAAACAAATTCTATAACTAACATAATTGTCATAATTTATTTACATATAGTAGAAATTAAATTAATAAGTTTTTAAAAAAAAGTTTAAAATGTTAAAAACCGTTAATAAAAAAATTAGATAAAGCTAAGGCATTGAAACGAAAGAAGTCACATCGTCATGCAATGGCACGGGGTGATCTAGCATCACAGAAAAAGTCCAAGTCGCTAGAATTAAACAAGGAAGCGGCACTTGTATACCAGAGACGGCTCGTGGGAGCTGGCTGGCAGTTTTGTTGGGGGTCCAATCGATGGACTGGGGGGGAGGGAAGCTTGGGAGCCGGCTCAAGCTGATCCCTCCAAACTACCGATTACATTACACACAGGGCCTTGTAAATGTAATGTGTAACACTTTACAGGCGACAGCAAACAAAAACAAACACTTATAACATGGGTGAAACAGGACACCAGTCCACACGTGTACGATCTCAGCCGCGCAGTATCATATAGCAGTCAAATTGCAAAGGGTCCTGGACCCCCAAATCGAGGCAAATCATAATAGATTACCTAAAGTGGGATGCGCACGATGTGCTTTGTAACGTTTACAATTAACTATGTGTTAAAACTGCGCGGCTGAGTAGTCCAGAGGTAGGATTGGACTCCCTACAACACAAAATTTCACGAAGATCACGCGTGCGCTTACATTAAAACGTATGATAGTAAATGAAGACCTTTATATTGCGATTTGTTATTTCCTAACACTATTACTAATTATTATTTATATTTTAAGCACCAGCCACCAGATAATAATTTTAAGGCGTCCACGGACGCCTGGACGCCCTCAATAGCCGCCTCTGTTGTATACACGTAAAAGGTGTCGCAACATGTGGGACGGTAGCACCAAAAACGTACAGTAATGGGGGTAATAATTAAGGCATTCATGTAAATATATGGCATATTTTCGTACAGCGCTCGATTGTCATAGTACCAAGTATAAATATACATTGGCGAAAATATGCGCGGCGCACCAAATTTTTTTAATTTACTGTTTTTTGGTCATCAAATATATTTTCGAATAAAGCTTTTTATTATATATTGGTGACAAATATGCTCAATGCTAAAAACATTAAATGTTAAATTAACCCTAACCCTCTAATCTGATCCCAACCCTAACCCTAACTCAATCCTTAACAAAAACATATGCTGAAACCCTAACCATAACGAGAAATTAGACTAACTTCCTTATACGGTCATATCACGTGATCGAGACAGTTTTTCGCCAATATCTCGTCAGGAGAGCATTTTAACCCTATGTCATGGGGGGTGATTCGGAATCAGCGTCCGAAAATACATCGATTGAAGTTGGTTACAACCGTCGGGGGCCCTTTTAGAACAATCTCGAAAATCGACTGTAGAGTGATTAAGCACGCTCGCATTTCAAGCACTTTTTTTGGATTTTTGACCAAGTAAGTCTTTTACCTAGCTTGCTACATGCTAGTTTATTGCTTGCTTTTCCCACAAATAGCTTAGAATGCGACGTGAAAAATGTTAAGCAAAAATGTTTCGATCAACTTTATAATTGAAAAATATTTGCTTTTTTGCAAAAGTTTCATCAAACAAATTTAAAAAAAATCTTAACGGGTGATACTCGTAAAGTATTTTTTCCATAAGACCGTCGACGCGTCCAACTCGGCGCGCATCCTGGTATTAGTAGGTTATAAACCTACAAAAAAATCCCGATTGAAGATTTTAAGTACTTTTTCATTTTTCTTTTACCCAGGAAACCCTACCGGCTGGGGTATATCTCCAAAAGTAAAATAGATAGAACCTTCCGGTTTTCAACAAAATGTCCGTCTCGTAAATTTAAAGGAGCCTCCCCAGGAGGACAATTGGGGACAATTTAGATTCTGAATTAAACCAAAAAGTTTGATTTTTGGCTAAATTAAAGATTGCAGCTTTTAAACTTTGCAAAGTCATGTCGTTGTCATGACTACTAAACTAAATGCAGCGTGTGAAAGGTAAACTCGATGTGACGCGCGACGCCCAACGTGCTGTTGAAAATCTATAACCTCTAGCAAGCCCAGCAGGCGGTAAGGTTTTCTGGGTAGGCGAGAGAGCTAAGAGTTCATAGTTCAGCTGCAAAAGAAAGCAGAAGGAAGGGGGGGGGGAAGTGGAAAGGGGGGGGGGGGGGAGTTGCAGGGAGGTAGGGGGATGTTTTGCGATATAAGACTTATAATTTCGGCGGAAAATGTATGAAGTTTTAAAAGTCGATTTTGAGGACGAAGATCGCGTTTTTACCTACCTATCCAGGAGTCCCCTTTCTTGTTGGCGAAATTCTCTACTTTCTTTTGATATTTTAAAATTGAAATTTGACTTGATTGGTGGAGAGTTATGGTTTGTCAAAGTGAACGTTTTAAAATGAGAGCGCAAATTCTTTTATACGCGCGTAGGTTCGGCCCAGGAAACCCTACCGGCTGGGGTATATCTCCAAAAGTAAAATAGATAGAACCTTCCGGTTTTCAACAAAATGTCCGTCTCGTAAATTTAAAGGAGCCTCCCCAGGAGGACAATTGGGGACAATTTAGATTCTGAATTAAACCAAAAAGTTTGATTTTTGGCTAAATTAAAGATTGCAGCTTTTAAACTTTGCAAAGTCATGTCGTTGTCATGACTACTAAACTAAATGCAGCGTGTGAAAGGTAAACTCGATGTGACGCGCGACGCCCAACGTGCTGTTGAAAATCTATAACCTCTAGCAAGCCCAGCAGGCGGTAAGGTTTTCTGGGTAGGCGAGAGAGCTAAGAGTTCATAGTTCAGCTGCAAAAGAAAGCAGAAGGAAGGGGGGGGGGAAGTGGAAAGGGGGGGGGGGGGGAGTTGCAGGGAGGTAGGGGGATGTTTTGCGATATAAGACTTATAATTTCGGCGGAAAATGTATGAAGTTTTAAAAGTCGATTTTGAGGACGAAGATCGCGTTTTTACCTACCTATCCAGGAGTCCCCTTTCTTGTTGGCGAAATTCTCTACTTTCTTTTGATATTTTAAAATTGAAATTTGACTTGATTGGTGGAGAGTTATGGTTTGTCAAAGTGAACGTTTTAAAATGAGAGCGCAAATTCTTTTATACGCGCGTAGGTTCGGCCCAGGAAACCCTACCGGCTGGGGTATATCTCCAAAAGTAAAATAGATAGAACCTTCCGGTTTTCAACAAAATGTCCGTCTCGTAAATTTAAAGGAGCCTCCCCAGGAGGACAATTGGGGACAATTTAGATTCTGAATTAAACCAAAAAGTTTGATTTTTGGCTAAATTAAAGATTGCAGCTTTTAAACTTTGCAAAGTCATGTCGTTGTCATGACTACTAAACTAAATGCAGCGTGTGAAAGGTAAACTCGATGTGACGCGCGACGCCCAACGTGCTGTTGAAAATCTATAACCTCTAGCAAGCCCAGCAGGCGGTAAGGTTTTCTGGGTAGGCGAGAGAGCTAAGAGTTCATAGTTCAGCTGCAAAAGAAAGCAGAAGGAAGGGGGGGGGGGAAGTGGAAAGGGGGGGGGGGGGGGAGTTGCAGGGAGGTAGGGGGATGTTTTGCGATATAAGACTTATAATTTCGGCGGAAAATGTATGAAGTTTTAAAAGTCGATTTTGAGGACGAAGATCGCGTTTTTACCTACCTATCCAGGAGTCCCCTTTCTTGTTGGCGAAATTCTCTACTTTCTTTTGATATTTTAAAATTGAAATTTGACTTGATTGGTGGAGAGTTATGGTTTGTCAAAGTGAACGTTTTAAAATGAGAGCGCAAATTCTTTTATACGCGCGTAGGTTCGGCCCAGGAAACCCTACCGGCTGGGGTATATCTCCAAAAGTAAAATAGATAGAACCTTCCGGTTTTCAACAAAATGTCCGTCTCGTAAATTTAAAGGAGCCTCCCCAGGAGGACAATTGGGGACAATTTAGATTCTGAATTAAACCAAAAAGTTTGATTTTTGGCTAAATTAAAGATTGCAGCTTTTAAACTTTGCAAAGTCATGTCGTTGTCATGACTACTAAACTAAATGCAGCGTGTGAAAGGTAAACTCGATGTGACGCGCGACGCCCAACGTGCTGTTGAAAATCTATAACCTCTAGCAAGCCCAGCAGGCGGTAAGGTTTTCTGGGTAGGCGAGAGAGCTAAGAGTTCATAGTTCAGCTGCAAAAGAAAGCAGAAGGAAGGGGGGGGGGAAGTGGAAAGAGGGGGGGGGGGGGAGTTGCAGGGAGGTAGGGGGATGTTTTGCGATATAAGACTTATAATTTCGGCGGAAAATGTATGAAGTTTTAAAAGTCGATTTTGAGGACGAAGATCGCGTTTTTACCTACCTATCCAGGAGTCCCCTTTCTTGTTGGCGAAATTCTCTACTTTCTTTTGATATTTTAAAATTGAAATTTGACTTGATTGGTGGAGAGTTATGGTTTGTCAAAGTGAACGTTTTAAAATGAGAGCGCAAATTCTTTTATACGCGCGTAGGTTCGGCCCAGGAAACCCTACCGGCTGGGGTATATCTCCAAAAGTAAAATAGATAGAACCTTCCGGTTTTCAACAAAATGTCCGTCTCGTAAATTTAAAGGAGCCTCCCCAGGAGGACAATTGGGGACAATTTAGATTCTGAATTAAACCAAAAAGTTTGATTTTTGGCTAAATTAAAGATTGCAGCTTTTAAACTTTGCAAAGTCATGTCGTTGTCATGACTACTAAACTAAATGCAGCGTGTGAAAGGTAAACTCGATGTGACGCGCGACGCCCAACGTGCTGTTGAAAATCTATAACCTCTAGCAAGCCCAGCAGGCGGTAAGGTTTTCTGGGTAGGCGAGAGAGCTAAGAGTTCATAGTTCAGCTGCAAAAGAAAGCAGAAGGAAGGGGGGGGGGGAAGTGGAAAGGGGGGGGGGGGGGAGTTGCAGGGAGGTAGGGGGATGTTTTGCGATATAAGACTTATAATTTCGGCGGAAAATGTATGAAGTTTTAAAAGTCGATTTTGAGGACGAAGATCGCGTTTTTACCTACCTATCCAGGAGTCCCCTTTCTTGTTGGCGAAATTCTCTACTTTCTTTTGATATTTTAAAATTGAAATTTGACTTGATTGGTGGAGAGTTATGGTTTGTCAAAGTGAACGTTTTAAAATGAGAGCGCAAATTCTTTTATACGCGCGTAGGTTCGGCCCAGGAAACCCTACCGGCTGGGGTATATCTCCAAAAGTAAAATAGATAGAACCTTCCGGTTTTCAACAAAATGTCCGTCTCGTAAATTTAAAGGAGCCTCCCCAGGAGGACAATTGGGGACAATTTAGATTCTGAATTAAACCAAAAAGTTTGATTTTTGGCTAAATTAAAGATTGCAGCTTTTAAACTTTGCAAAGTCATGTCGTTGTCATGACTACTAAACTAAATGCAGCGTGTGAAAGGTAAACTCGATGTGACGCGCGACGCCCAACGTGCTGTTGAAAATCTATAACCTCTAGCAAGCCCAGCAGGCGGTAAGGTTTTCTGGGTAGGCGAGAGAGCTAAGAGTTCATAGTTCAGCTGCAAAAGAAAGCAGAAGGAAGGGGGGGGGGAAGTGGAAAGGGGGGGGGGGGGGAGTTGCAGGGAGGTAGGGGGATGTTTTGCGATATAAGACTTATAATTTCGGCGGAAAATGTATGAAGTTTTAAAAGTCGATTTTGAGGACGAAGATCGCGTTTTTACCTACCTATCCAGGAGTCCCCTTTCTTGTTGGCGAAATTCTCTACTTTCTTTTGATATTTTAAAATTGAAATTTGACTTGATTGGTGGAGAGTTATGGTTTGTCAAAGTGAACGTTTTAAAATGAGAGCGCAAATTCTTTTATACGCGCGTAGGTTCGGCCCAGGAAACCCTACCGGCTGGGGTATATCTCCAAAAGTAAAATAGATAGAACCTTCCGGTTTTCAACAAAATGTCCGTCTCGTAAATTTAAAGGAGCCTCCCCAGGAGGACAATTGGGGACAATTTAGATTCTGAATTAAACCAAAAAGTTTGATTTTTGGCTAAATTAAAGATTGCAGCTTTTAAACTTTGCAAAGTCATGTCGTTGTCATGACTACTAAACTAAATGCAGCGTGTGAAAGGTAAACTCGATGTGACGCGCGACGCCCAACGTGCTGTTGAAAATCTATAACCTCTAGCAAGCCCAGCAGGCGGTAAGGTTTTCTGGGTAGGCGAGAGAGCTAAGAGTTCATAGTTCAGCTGCAAAAGAAAGCAGAAGGAAGGGGGGGGGGAAGTGGAAAGGGGGGGGGGGGGGAGTTGCAGGGAGGTAGGGGGATGTTTTGCGATATAAGACTTATAATTTCGGCGGAAAATGTATGAAGTTTTAAAAGTCGATTTTGAGGACGAAGATCGCGTTTTTACCTACCTATCCAGGAGTCCCCTTTCTTGTTGGCGAAATTCTCTACTTTCTTTTGATATTTTAAAATTGAAATTTGACTTGATTGGTGGAGAGTTATGGTTTGTCAAAGTGAACGTTTTAAAATGAGAGCGCAAATTCTTTTATACGCGCGTAGGTTCGGCCCAGGAAACCCTACCGGCTGGGGTATATCTCCAAAAGTAAAATAGATAGAACCTTCCGGTTTTCAACAAAATGTCCGTCTCGTAAATTTAAAGGAGCCTCCCCAGGAGGACAATTGGGGACAATTTAGATTCTGAATTAAACCAAAAAGTTTGATTTTTGGCTAAATTAAAGATTGCAGCTTTTAAACTTTGCAAAGTCATGTCGTTGTCATGACTACTAAACTAAATGCAGCGTGTGAAAGGTAAACTCGATGTGACGCGCGACGCCCAACGTGCTGTTTAAAATCTATAACCTCTAGCAAGCCCAGCAGGCGGTAAGGTTTTCTGGGTAAGTGCACCCCATGTGCAGGAATCTTAAAATAGCGCAATTACGCTAAAACCCGTTTACTGCAGTGACTGGTGTTCAAAATAAAATGTAATGGAAGATTAAATTAAATACTCGTTGTCGTACGTTGTATGACCCGCCGCGCCTGAGTGCGCGGCTCCCCTGTATCGTAAAAACTCTAAAGTGAAACGACAATGGGGGTCAGGACGTAATACATACAAGATACTCGTCTAAATTCCTTCGAAGTATCTAGGCTTGACGCGACGATGCTCTATTTAGAGCCCTCTCGCTTGCAGTATATACAATATAGCGCGCGACAGCCTTGACGGATGTTACTCGTCTAAATTTCTTCGAAGTAGCGCGCGCCGCTTTCTTCTCGAAATGGCCCGATGGCAAGTGCTACGAAGTACCGCGCGCCGGGCCAGATCATTAACAATGGTCAAGCGACCGCCGTACGCGTAGACTCATGGCTAGGTGAAAGCTTGACGGATCAGAATGTTATACTTGTCTAAATGTCTTCGAAGTAGCGCTCGCCGCTTAATTCTTTTCGAAATTTTAGCCAGATGCAAGTGCTTTCTTTTTTGAAATATGACCGAGCCGGCGAGGCGAAGCTTGCTTCGAACTCGAAGTAGCACGCGCGCCGGTTCAGTATTAACGGGTGATACTCGTAAAATATCGGTTCCATATATTGGACCATCGACGAGTCCAACTCGGCGCGCGTCCTGGTAGGTTGTAAACCTACAATGTACAAGTTCAGTACATGAACATCAATAATTGTTACCTAGCTTGTTGATTTAATTGACGATGTCAACCCTTCCAGATCGTTGCTCTGCGAATTAACAGAGCAACGATGCGAAGTAAGAATGATAGTTTGCGCGAGTCCTCCAACCTAGCTTGCTAATCTCTCGCTAGTATCGGTTCTCTTCATGTCACATATGACATATGCAAGAAGCTCGAAAAGAGCGCCACGCCTAATGAGAATTTGCATTGTTAGTTTGACTAACCTGTTCCTAAAAGCAGACATTGTTGATTGTATGTTTCTTTCTATCACATTTCGCACGTCAGTCGCTTAGCTCAAGCTGTTTTGAGGAGTCTGAAGTCACGCGCGATGGAGGGATTAAAGCTTATTGCTAATGTAGCCCGATATCCAGTATGATCAATCATGCGATCACACTCTAATAACTAAAACAAAACTCAAGATTATCTTCTTTCAAAACAAAATTGCAAATTATTCCAGAAAAACTAATGCGTTATATTTTCACATAAATCAGGCAAAATCATAATCTTAAACTATTTATCAATATATGAACACACTATAGCATTAATCATATTTACACGGATATTTAAGCACAACTTTGAAATAAAATCAAACTCAAACGTAATAACTACGCATGTAGCATGCAATCTAACAATCCGTAACCTCAAATAATTATTAACAATGAAGTGATTAAAGCTTAGTCCTGCAGGTTATTGCCTTACTATGCACTTTGCGGCTTGAAATTTCCTTTTAAAAGTGATAAAATTTGGTGCCAATATGATAACACAAAATGTTACCACTTTTGAGAGAAAAATGCATGCCGTAAAATGCTGCAGTAAGGTAAACTACTGTAATTCAATGTCCAAATCATGACCAATCGATTAAATTTTATTTGTGTAACTGTAGGCTATTTATAAATAAATTTCCCACAACTGTACGATGGTTAAAACTTTAAATAAATTAAAAAATGACTGACGTTCATCAACGACAAATGTACATGCTTTAACATTAACTTGCGTTATTGTTGCCTGCAACAATAATTTATAATTTATCAACATTAATTAGAACAGCCAGAAACCCAAGAGTCAAGTTTCTGATTCTTCTTCAGGAAACCACGGACTTGAAACCAGATCTACTGACTTTGCTATCATTGAGTAACGATAATTTGAAGTCAACCAACAATGGTATTTAATAAAGCTACTTCTTTAACCAGAATTTATGTCACAAATACTAATTCACTCCGCTGAACTCCGCAGAATATTTAACTTCAGAACCTAATCCTCACGTGCTTCCTCCGCGGAGAATCTCAGACTTTTCCTTCTCAGAGAACTTTAAAACGGCCAGAATAACTTTCAGAAGTTGGTCAGTGTGCTCACCCTTCAGATATTTATACATGACATCCTTCAAGTAATCATACTCACTCTCCAACATATACCCCTCGCTATAGTCACTTGATATGGATATTCTCCCTGCTGAGATATTGTAACCGGGGAGTGGTCGGTCTGTAGGTCTGTCTGTTTTTCTGTCTTTCAGAATCTCAACTTCTTTGAGAAGTCGCTGTCTTTCTCGGGAGCTCTCTTCCATTACTCTGTTTACATCTTCAAGATGTCTCTGTTCGTTTGACTCCTGCAAAAGTTATAATAACTATATTTTTGTGATTTTTAAAATGTTACACTATCACTAGGCTTTATTCAGTAGTCGTTAATCGTTACCCATCTCACTTAATAATACTCTCTAAATAATCCTGGAAAATGATAGTGTATGTGTATCAAGTGACATGACGTCACAACGCACGTGACATGACGTCACAACGCACGTGACATGACGTCACAACGCACCTGCCACTGTTTTAGCCTCATCTCATATTCCTGGTTAGCGTTAAATATAGCCTCGTTCTTGATCGTCTCAATCTCTATCTTATGTCTCCGAATCAAGTTTTCTAGATGTTTCTTCAGATCGGCTGTCTCCTCAGGGTTAGACCTGTTTCCGGGAACGTGATCTCCCCCAAGGTGGGTTTCTAGTTCCTGTATTCTGTTCTCCAACTTATCTGTAGTTTCCTGAGATTTCATATGCTAATTAAGTTTATAGCAATATAAGAACATTTGTAAAGCGTGATTAATAAATAACTCTTCATCTCTTTAAAGAAGTGATGTTGGTTACTTTATTAATGCTAAATTCCAAAATGTATCAAAGAATTCCAAATGTGGAAGGATTTCAGTTTAAGATTTAAGTATGAACAGCGAACCTGCAAGTTCATGTTGTAGGCCATGTCTAGGTTGAAGACAATCTCGTCATGCTCAGTTCTGGGAATGGTATCTCTCCGGATATTATTCAGCTCAGATAAATTATCTTTCTTCAGCTTGGAGATCTCCTGTGAACCGGGGGTTCATGTTTATTGTTTAAATTAAATTTTTCAAGCGCGGTATACAAACTCGTAGTTTGAGTTAAATACGATACACTGTGTTTGAAAAGAATTGCGGTATACAATATTTGGTTGTGTTCTGGTAACCTGATCACGTGATTCAAGAGATTCCTGAAGGTCACACAGCTGTTCTCGTAAGGAGTGAGACTTCTTCTCGGATAATAGTAACTTACTGCTGTACTCCGAAACCTGAGATAAGGAGGAATATCAGAAGAAAGATTGTCTAGCAACAGGAAGGTAAACATCGCAGTAAAAATGCTAATATTTAAGGTTGTACAGTTGCACAGTTAGAAGTTAATAACTACACAGCATTAATCAGTTATTGTAAAATAGGAAAAGACACAGAGATAACAAAGACAGAGACACAAAGATAACAGCAAAATCATGAAATTCAAAATAGTCGGAGAAGATTGAGAGAGTTGAGACCAATTCTTGTTTTAACTCGCGGCTGACCTGGACGCTACACTTTCCCTGAGCCTTATCGGCCTCCTCTTTCGCGCCAGCTAGCAAGGATTCCAATTTCTTAACCTGAGTTTGTAGTTTTACTATCTGGCCCTCTTCTTGTGTTACTTTCTGAGGAAACGACATTGTGAAAACGTATTATATGTGAAAACCTATTATTACCAAATTAATTTGCCATAATTTAAGCGGATCTACAATATTTACAGAGAACATAATATTTTCTTCACAAGCGAACCGTAAAATCTTGGTTTGAGCAGTAGCTTTTGGTAACCTGATGTTGCGCATCTGGGTATTTCACAACTTTCCTACACAACCAACACACATGAATTATCAATCACCATTTTCTACAATTTACTCGCTTGCTTTGTATCGTTTTGGCTTATCAATCACATTTAACAAACACTAATCATTCAACGTCTTTAATCAAGAGCCTGTAGCGTTTTATCACAGACTGAATCACTTGAAACGGTACAAGTTGACTGCCTTATGATCACTTCAAACAACATCAGTATCTTTGGGATACACAGCCATGCAGAGAGATACAGCTGGGCAGCGTACTGGCTGTTTGTACTTCTGTCATCCCTCATTGGAGACACCCTCATCCTCTATGCATCTTCCCAGAACGTATTCAAATTTAATAAGTTCATAGTCACAGTCATCCAGCACATCGCAGTATGTGACCTTGTGTTTGCAGTCACGGCAGTGTTTCCTGCAGCTACCTCGTTGATCGCTAATTCATGGGTACTAGGAGATGCTCTGTGTTATGGTAAGGTCTATATTAGCAACTACATCTACACAGTAGGGATGGCTTTTGTTGCTGTTGTGACAACCACCAAACTCCTGCTTCTTAAATATCCAGTTCGGTGTGCACATTGGACCAAGAGACTGGGACACAGAATATGCAGCCTCGTTTATATAATTCCTCTCGCAATTCCGGCAGCCGTTCTTATTGTGGATAAAAATGACATTGAATTTGATTATACAACCTATAACTGCGAATACATGAACCAATCAGATGTGTGGATGAAAATAGCGCTAATTCTTGCTGTGATCACCATGTTTCTTCCAAATATTGTGATTCTTGCTACAACAATCCCAACCCTGAAGTACCTAGCAACCGCCTGGAAGACCGCACGACGTGCCCGGGCAAGTTCCCCCCTGCAAGGAACTTTAACTGTAGCGCTAACTGCTACTATCTACTGCATCTCGACTTTACCTATGTTTGTTTTCTACATTAGCAAAGAAGATCCTCCAACCCTCTTCCAAGTCCGATTTAAAAGAATAGCAAATTTCATGGGTATAATAAACATAATGTCTAATTTTTACATCTACACTCTGACGATTAAGAGTTTCAGAGATTTCCTTTCTTCAAGGATTTCTCTATCCTATCAGCTTGTCTGCGAACCATTACAACTTCAGGTACAACTTATATCAAACAGCCATCTCATACAAATAAATACAGATAAATCACGTATTAGTACACTACATGCAATGTATGCCTCAAGTATAACTTAACATGAATTATCACAAATAATAAACAGAGCAATATATTTTTAGATGAAGGCGAGCAAGATAGAAGAGGAGCAGATAGGAGCAACACACAGATAAACGAAGCATCTGTTTGAATGTACACGATAAACTCAGAGTATCATGATCATGTAATTTGTGATTAACTTTGAGCTAAAATTGGACTGCCATATCATGAGTGATGTAGGTGTGCATTATGTAATATACTGATTGATATAATACAGTAGTTCATACTTTTAAGATAATGGACGATTACCGAGTTAGCAGAACGAAATTCATTTTGTTATTAACAATGTTTTTTTCTAGAATATCTTGATAATTTGTATCCCAAGAGTTAGCATTGACGTCACAGAAAATAAGGGTATTTTTCATCATTTTTTGTGACAGTAAGCAGTAAGGAAATTTCTGAAATTCGGTAAAATCATGTTCAAACTTAGTCTGTATTAAGACTGTAAGACTTTCATGTTAGCACATACATGTATTTTAATGCAAATTTAAACTGTATTGCTTGACATTCAATTCGTCATTGGTGTAGTGATAATTTGTCCCAAGATGCCAGAATTTATTTATTTATTTTACTTTTTAGAAACAAAACAAAGCAGTGAAGGCACAGTCATTGAAATAAGCTAAAAGATAATGCGACGGATTCTATTACGACGACCGAAATTTTGGCGGTCCGAAAATATGGCGAAATTTTCGGAAAACCGCCACATTTCGTACGTTATAAATACTAGCAGGAACCCGTCTAACCCAGAACCCTAAAGTGGTGTCAAGACTCGAGAGACTAAAATAATTATTACCTATTTAATTCGCGTTTTTGACACCAAAATTTTTTATTAGTCTGCAATGCGCAGAGTTTGAATCGAATGTGGGGAAGGGGAGTAGTTTAAGAGTGTAAAATTGTCGAAAAAAGGATCAAAATTGTCGGAAGAAATTATATTTTTCGAAAAAATGTTCAAGTTACTTTTGAAGAAAAGTTCAGGGAAAGGAATTACCCGCGGTGAATCGGGGTTTTAATGCATATTATTAAGAGCTGCTTTCTAACTTATATTTCAAACAAGAAAAGTGAGTATTCTGTGAAATTAAACTCTTTATATCAGTGTAAATATCGTACCTGCATTTTTTCCTGAAGAGCAATGTTGATTTGTTCCACATTTTGTGAGTGCTCCTTCTCTAGCTTGGTTTTCATCTCAAGGAGTTGAACTTTGTGTGCCCTTTCCAGTGAGTCTCTCTCTGACATCTGGCAAGAAATTAGTAGATGATTAGGGTCCTTTCAAACTTCATTTTGAATTTTCAGGTTAAAAAACAATATCAATTCGGTAAGTTTTACTTGGCGATTTTTAAGACTTAAAAAGCTTCCATTAAAATGTAAGCATATATTTTACAAATTTCCTGTTAACATCTTAAAATCAGTACCATTTGAGACAAAGACTCTACAATCTTGTTCTTCTCCTCCTTCAAGGACGAGAAACAAACGTCCAGGTTGTTAGAATGGGACGATAACCTAGAGTTTTCCTGCTGTAGAGCACCAAACTCGTCCTCCCGGGACGACAACACCGTCTCCAGCTGCTTGGTCCTATTCTTCAGCTCATTACATAGTTTAGTTAGATGTTCTTGATTTGACGTGTGGTCAGAGAGGTCGGATTTTAGGGAGGAGACCTGAGTGGGGGGAGTGTGGGTTTACTTATCGTACAGACTGGGTTAGAGATAGACTGTAAAGTGTATATCAGAAGTTTGTATTGGATACGAAACAGAAGAAGTTACTTGGGAGTTGGGAGTTCAAACATTTATTGTGAACTAAATAAGAGCAATAGTACAAATATATCTTTGGGCTAACCTGTTTTTCAAGATGAGAAATAGAGTTGTTTTTCTCCTTCAGATCCCTATAAGCTGACTCCAGATCAGATCTTAATTTCTCTTCATTTTCCAAAGAAGACGATTGTAAACCCTCTTGTTTCTCTAGATACGATCTCGCTGTGTTCAACTCCTCTTTCAATGAATTGATTTCTTGTTCTAGATCAACATTTTTCTTATGAAGAGTTTCACTTTCTCTTGATATAGTTTCTTTTTCTTTTTGCCAAGAGCCTGATTGAGTCTTGAAGTGCGTGACAGCCTCCCGCAAATTTGAACATTCAGTTTGTAGTTTTACTAATTCATCTTGTTGGTTACACTTTTCTTTTTGTAACGCGTCTAATTTTGTTTTAAGCTCAGAATTGGCAGACACGAAGTTTTCTCTTTCACTTTGAAGAGTTTCAGTTTCTTTTTGAAGGTTTTCTCTTTCGGCAGAGCTGGTAGCAGAGAGATTGTGTAATTGGCTGTTCATTTGTTCCTGAAGTACTGTCTTCTGTTCCATCTCATGAGAAAATTTAACTTCCATCTCTTCTAGTTGAGAAGTAAGATTTGTAATCTCAACTTCTTTCTGTTGAATACTCTGAAGACACTGCTCTAAATTTTGTGAAAGCGCCTTTTTCTCTAACTCTTTCTCGTTCAACAAAGATTCAAAGTCCGATAACTTTGCAGAGTTTTCAGAGTGACTCTTCTCAAGTTCTGCCAATTTCTCTCTCAGTTCGTTACTCGATTTTTCACCGAGTTCTAATTTGTGAAGTAGGTCTGAACGTTCCTTATCTGAGTCTGATATTTTCGAGGCTAACTCGGACGAATTACATTCCTTGCCAGAAATTTCCTCCTTCAGTTGAGTTACCTGCTGCTCAAGTTGCTTTTTTGCTTCTGTGATTTCAATGATTTTTGCTTCCGCTTTCTTTTTTAATTCCACCAGTTTCATCTGAACAGAATTCTTAGTGTTATCTTTTAAGGTTATTTTTTAGTGTTATCTTTTAGTGTTATCTTTTGGAAACTATTAAACGTATATTAAATCTGTAAAAACTACAGGGTGGGCCAAAAGTCAGTACCCATACATTGGCCTTAATAGCTCAGTCACTGACCCAACGTATGGGTACTGACTTTTGGCCCACCCTGTACAACTATAGACACTGCCTCTGACAATGAATTTACAAAATTTGAAATAATGTTCAATCTAGTAACCTTGAACTGGTTCCGTTGTTCGGCAGTATTCTTATGTTCGTCTTGTTCTTGAGATAACTGTTTGTTGAGATCCAATAAAATGTCCTTTATTTGGTGGGCGAGGTTAACCTCAACTATCTTATTGTCGTTATCCACTACTTCTCCTTTTACACTCCTGTGCTGTTCCAATACACTCTGAAATACAGACTGTTTAGAATATTGAGCAAAACAATGTTCATAACAGCCATAATTAGAGGGTTTCCTCACAACCGAATTCAAAAAGCTATTAAAAAAAGAGTCAAATTCCGTAGAATCAAGAATATAATTATTACTGACATCTTTAAAAACCAAAAACCTACCTTAATATCATTCTCCGTGCCCCTGAAGTGCTCAACTTGGTTCTGAAGCTGTTTCACCTCGTTACTCAGCTGACCTAACCTTGACTCTTTCTCTTCGCTCGTGCTCCTGTTACCTTCACTCTCCTTCTTATTCGATTCCACCTGAGAATTTTATCCGTTACACATAGTATGGTTTAATCGATCCCTTGAAGTTTAACAATCAGTAAAAAGCATTGTGATGTTTGTAAAGATGTCTTTATCCGTCGATGTACTGTATTTTTGGTTCTTGTCCCGATTCTCAGGGTCAGTCTCTTTGATTGGTTATCGTACGATCACATTGGGTAAGTCGATAAATCGGTGTGTCCTCTCTTTTTTTTAGAGCAGTCGTCCTAACTCTTAAACTATTTCTCTACGGTCAGTCTTGTCAGTCCTCAGGACACACGTGGTGTGACGTCACAGTCGTGTCAGTCCTCAGGTCTGTTGAACCCACCTCCTCTGAAAGTCTGCTGTTCTCCTCAATCTTCTCCTTCAAGATCTCCTTCAACTGTCCCAGCTCCTGCCTCAACTTCTCCGCCCGGTTATCTAACTCTTCCTTCTCCTGTTTTAACTCAGCCCGCTCCACTCCCACTGACTTCAGCTCCAGTTTCAGACGGTTTTCAGTTTCTGCGCTCTGTTCCAGTTTTAACATGTAAGACTCTTGTACTTCAGAGAGGGAGCTGTTGTGTGAATCTACTGTGCCTTTGTGCTGAAGTGTTAGCTGTGTCACGTGGTGTGACGTCATTTCATGTGGTGTGACGTCATTTCACGTGGTGTGACGTCATTTTACGTGGTGTGACGTCATTTTACGTGGTGTGACGTCGTTTCACGTGGTGTGACGTCATTTCACGTAGTGTGACGTCATTTCACGTGGTGTGACGTCATTTCACGTGGTGTGATGTCACTTTCCGAGCGGACTTGCATTTTTCAGGCAGGAAGTTTGTATGTTGCTTCGTGATGAGACAAATCCAATATATGGTGTAAATTGTTTAATGCACAAGTTTATGTACGCTTGACAGATAATAAGGGAAATTAATGAAATTCTCATCATACCTTAGTTTCAAGTTCATCTTTCAGTTTTGTGAGATTCCCTATCTTATTGTCCTGCTCCTTGACATAGCCTCTCAGTTTCCCAATAGCCTGGCTTGCTCTACCCAAACCTGGGAATAGTCATTTTAGTTTTATAACAATGGATTTAAGATAATCTTACTTTAAAATGATGTTACCAAAATAATACGATGTGAGGTCTGTTTAAGTTGGGACCTTATCCTAAAATTCCCAAATATTCACCTTCCTTAGCCTTTTGATGATTAGCTGTCTCGGACTGCAGTTTCCTGTCCAATTCTGATATTTCTTCTTTCAGCTTTAGTGACACAGCCTCCAGTTCTTCCTGCTTCTTTACTTCGTCCTGTAATACTCTGTCACAGTGCTGATCACGTGATTAAAGAACAAGTAGACATTAAGACATAGCAAGTAAATTAAGCTCTGTAGTTAAATTTGATGAGTGTTGGAGAATATGTACCTGGTGGGGGGGGGGGGGGGGGGGGGGGCGGCGGGGATCTATGTACCTGGTGTTGAGCAGCGAACATCTTCAAGTCCTCTTCTCTTCTCAACTCCAGATTCTTCACTTCTTCTTCTTTTTTCTTCCTTACTTCTTCCATCTGGATATTTACACTTATTTTATGACGTCCATAACAGTTCTATGCATTTTGATTATTTAAGTCAGAATTTTAAAGTAATCTTACATTTCAAAGATTTATCCAGAAATAAATGAAGAGTCGGCTGAGATTTATTCGCCAATTTATAAAACCCGAAACAAGGCCGGTAAAATACCTCAGCTTCAGATTTGGAGCACTGTTTCCGGAGAAGTTCGCAAGTGGTGTGGGAAGATTCCAGATCATTCTGTAGGGAAGATATCTCTGAAAGAAGAAATATTAGTATGTCCACATATTATCTTAGTGGAACATATGTAGTATGTCCACATATCTTAGTGGGAGATATATTGATAAGAGTGTTTATTTTTAACGCGATATTTTTTCGGATACCCGAGATATAGATATTTGTCTTACTTGAGTTGAATTCAGCTGCCTTGTTTATCATATCAGCTTCGAGTTTCGAGATCGATTTGTTCTTGATTTCTATATCGGTCTTCAATTCCTGATAAAATAATCTATGTAAAGCATGATGTAAGACGAAAATTTCAACGAATAATTAAAAAAATAAGTATGAAAGAATCAAACATGAAGATTTAACGTTTGTTATTTATTTAAACCCAAGTCACAGTTCGACTAAATAAACTCTAACCCTAGTTCTGGTAAGTAGATCACTAGACTCCTTTTTATCTCCCTCCAGCTCCTTTAATCTGACCTCCAGCTTCCTGACTTGCTCCCCCTTCACCTCACCCTCACCTCTACTGTGTTTCAGATCTTCTTCACTCTTCTTCAGATCACCTCTCACCTGAGTTTTACTGTTGTCAGGAGTATTCATTGACTTTTTAAACAATTTCTTTGTGCTCTCATACTACAGTGTTCGTTAAATCAAGATAACAAAGAACCCTACCTTTTCAAGCAGCTCACTCAAAGAATTCTTTTCGCTTTCGAATGTCTTCTTGTTTTGCTCGCATTCTTTTCTAATGACATCACGTTCTGATGCTAGTTCCGACAACTGAACAATTGGTTAAATTATTAAATTCTCTGAATGACATGTTCTAAATCTATGTTCTTTAATCACAGTGCCAACATATTTTAAACGTATTACAAAACTACAAATCTACTACATTTATTAAGGAAATTACAGAAGGAAGTTCGAGGAGTCCTAATCCTCCTCTTCTCCTAAGATGGCGTTTCTCTTGTCTCATATATGGATAAGATAGGAAAATAAAACCCATATAACACTGACCTTTTTATCTTTTTCTAATTTCTCGTTCTGCAACACGTCTAGTCCCTGTTTTAACTCTGATAGCTCTGAGTTCAGCTTCTCAGTTACTATGTTATGCTGTTGTTCTACTTCCTTTAGTGTTTCTCGCAGTTTAACCTCCTCCTGTTAAGTGATTACGTCAAAAATTAATCAATAAATTAATAACTGTTCTATCATCTAGTCAGCATTAAATTATTGAGAGTCAGTTATTTAGTTATTTAGTTATTTAGTTATTTAGTTATTTAGTTATTTAGTTAGTTAGTTAGTAAGTTAGTTAGTGACTAACCTGAGACAGACGCTTGTTCTGAGATTCAGCAGATGCTAACTTCTGTTGCAGTGAGTTCACATCGTTCTGTAGCTCGTTTAATCTCTCTTGTAGAAGTCTGTTTTGTTCGGACAGTATCTCCGTACCTGAAAATTGCAAGCACGTTAAACATTGTTTAGCTTCAGAACACTAAACTTGCAAATAACTTGTTCACGTGTCCCCACTCATAAACTTTTCTTATGTTAACCCGAATGAATTTAGACAAATATACACAGCAACAGTTAATCAGACGTTGAGATAGCACAGATCGTCGGATTCAGGATTAAGGAACTCTCTAACTATGAAATATTTAAAACCCAGACCTGTCCATACGACATTAACAGAAGTAAGATGACCAGCTATTTCCGGAACAAGCATTACTACACAATACAACTGAGCAGCGATACAATGGCAACCAGGGCTAACAGCGAGCCAAGCAATCCATTATTGTGATGATTTTGCAGAGTTGTTATACAGATCTTTAATTTGATCAGCAAAATGAGGGCATTGCAGACGAATGGCTCAATTTTATGTTCATATTATATAATATGGCAGGACTACGGAAATCAGAGCGCAACAACAACCGTAATGCTGATAACAACCTCGTCTTAATACCATAGGCACGTCCGCAAGCATTACTGAATCAATTTCACTGTATACCATCACAGATACACTGTCCATAATTCACCAGAAGCCACAGCGTGGGCTATAATATGAGGCCAAAGCCCAAAATATGGCAATCAATTTCTCGGAAATAAATCGGCTCTACAAAATATCCATATATTGAAAGTTGAGAGTACGGTTTAATTTCAGTAAATTCCATACTTTTGTTAATTTTTTACCAAATTGAAACTGGAACTCACCATTAGCCTTAGAATCAAGACTTTTCTCCAACGCAGAGTGCTGTTCCTGCAAAACAGCGTGTTGCCTGACTATGTTGTCTCTATCCGTCATCACACTGTTTATTGCTTCCTGTAGCTGCGAACTCCTGAGATGGATTTTGTTAATGAGTATACACAATACACATGGGAATCTACATCAATAGCTGGTCACTGCTTGAATCGGCGCGCGCGGTGAATTATCTTTAAATCGAAATCGCGCACTATATAATGAATCCTCGTGCCGTTCAAACTACAGAATTTTCTTTCATCATTTAGATGTCATCGCGCCTTCCATAAACGAAATATCCAACTGTGACCATTTCCGATACCAAACAATGATGATGAAATACTAAAATACCTTACTATTTGAAGATACACCAACTATATATATAAACCTACGCCGCGCACCGTCATTTTGGGGATGTGTAACGACTGAAAAGAACCTGTGTTGATGAAGGAGCACATAGTTCAAATTCCAAAGGCGCACCTTCTGCTAATTACACTGGCAACCACCAGCCTTTAAATATCCAGCACGAGGTAAACACGACCTTTTCCTTGTACTTTTCACACTGTTTACACGTGCTATCTACTAGAATCTCTCGATTTGCTAACGATTTGATTTTAGTAGAAGATAACGAATCAATTTTCCGCCACAGGAGGAACCCTGATCGTGTCTACAGGAAACTTCAAGCCAAGAAAGAGGAAGTATAATCCGGATGAAATTAATCATATTTCTGGTCCTTCTTTCGCAAATATACAGACAGCTTCCCAAACTAAAGTTTTTTCAAACATTTCACTAGATACCGACGAGTTTGAAGATGAGTTGGACCTGGAGGAAATCGACTAAGAGGTGGAAGTACCTCGCCACGAATCATTAGGAGATCAGGCTAATTGAGAGGAATAACAAATCCGCTGTCATCAACAGCTATCAATACTTCGCTGTCTTCACTCTATGATCGTCATGAAAAAGAAAAGTAACGATCGTACAATCATAGAGTTATGACAGTGGAACAGGGAACTTTCACGTCGTTGGTATTTTCAGTATTCGGAATCGCTGCACCAGAATGCAAGACCTTTCTAAGAAACCTATTTACCAGGATTGCTGAAAAAGGCAAGACTTATACAGCAACGTCGCCAATTGGAATATTTCAGTTTAAATCGGGATTTTCCTGATGCACGAAGATTTTTGTAGTACACCGAAATTCCATTACATTACACATGGAACAACGGTTCTAAAAAGTGGTCACCACGTAAAACGCACAGATTAGATCCAGAGGCGCAGAATATAGTGACTAGAATGTACTATGTATCACCTAAACAAAGAGAATGTTTCTACTTACGGATTTTATTACTTCACGTTAGAGGGGCCAAATCATATGAAGACCTTAAGAAATATAATGGACAAGAATATGCCACGTTTTGTGATTCATGCAAGGCGAGAGGTTTATTGCCAACCTACATCCATTTATTCACATTTTTAACTCAGGTTAAATCTACGCTCAACGTCCCAAGTGTTGAGTCATTTGATAGATTATGTCATTTTTCCTATTCCATTCAGCACAAATTTCCTTTTTATTTATCACAATTCATTCATAAGTAAAAACTTCAATTTGAACAAAAAACAAATCTATGAAATGAGACGGTGAGGGACCTGTACGAAATGATTCAGATGTGTAATATATGTATTTTCAGAAGCAAAAGTTGTTGGATCGTGTGCAAAGTTTCAGGGTGATAAATTCTTAGACTCGATATTCAGTACACTCAACTGAAAACCACTTCCGCAATACTGAATACGATTACTCATCACTCATAAACGCTGATCTTTAGCTTTGACCACTGACAAGCTTTCTCCCTGTGCAGTGACCTAGGGGCCAGGGCCCCCTAGTATACTATAATACTAATACTAATATATCTGAGAGGGGCACGAACTAAATTGAAAGACAGCTTCATCAGCGAGGATTTCCAACTAGATTGTAATGAAGCTAACATAGGTAATATTAATATTGTTTTGATGTATTATATTTATGAATTGTATTGTAAGTTATTGTACAATTTACCTTTTTTGAAAACATCGGTAGTACGGCTATTTAGGTATTATGTGCATACTACCAAACAATACAAAAATCATTTTTGATCGCTCTTTACAAATAAGTCGTCTCCTACTTATTTATAGCTGTTGACCATCCAAATTTAAAAAATTAGAAAACAAAAAAAACAATTAAAGCATTAGAAAATGCTCGACGATATCAAAAAGTTTCGGACTTACTTCATTTTATGTTCTTCATCTGAGTTCTTCAGTTTTCTCCTCAGCTCCACAACTAACTTGTCCAGATCCTTACTAAGCACTTCCAGTTCTTCTAACTTCTTATCAGTAACCGTCTTATCTTTCGTTATCTAAAAGTAATTTGATCATTACACAGTAAATATATTTTCTGTCACATTTCAATGTGAATTATACGAAATCCCCACACAATTAGTAATTACGCACCGACCATTTTACTTTTTAAATTACAATCTTCACGATATAGCTCACTGCTCAGAAATGTATCAAAATAGTAAACAAGCAGAAATTAACCTTATCAAGCTGGTTCTGCAGTTCAGTAACAGTAAGCTGAGAAGCTTTAAGGTTATCAGTAGCAGAAGAGAGACTATCAGCTAGATCCACACACTCAGTAGTCTTAGTCTTCAGCTGATCATGTAGAAGAGAAGTACTCTTCTCACAACTCTGCAGTTTGTTTTGGAGATTAGAAACCTCGTCGTTTAATTGAGCACAGTCACTGTTGGACTCAAACACGTGTCTTGTTAGGTCTGATATCTCCGTATCTTGTTCTTCTTTATCATCTGGGAGTTGGAAATGAGTAAAATTCTGGAAGTAAATGTCAATGGTATTCTGGAGGTGAAATAAAGTGATGTCTTGGGAGGACGTAGTGAAATAAGGTGAAATTTGGGGGCTTGTCGTGCAAGAGATTCTAGAGTGTATCGCAAAAACTATTACAGCTATAATTTATAGTTCAATCTGTTTCAACTTACCACAGCATAAGTTATTTATTCATGAATGAAGTTTCCTTACAATATCAGTTTGCGATTCTTACCACGAAGTTTGGTAATTTGTGCTTGCATTTCCTTGATCTTAGTTTTGAAGGGAGTCAGTTGAGATCGGTGAGTTTCCTCGAGCGCCTCCCTTTCGCTAATTTTACTGTCTTCTAGCTTTACTAACTGAAGAAGTTATTAATTTAGCTTAATTATGGAAAGATTGCTAAAATGTGTGGATATATCCACACTATATATAGGGGGGGGGGTGTCATGTCCGTCTATGTCCGCCTATGTCCTGTCCTTTTTGGATTCTATGAGACAACGGACGTGTTTTTTGGGACATTGGCGGACACGGACGGACATTGGCGGACTCGGACGGACATTGGCGGACTCGGACGGACATTGGCGGACTCGGACGGACATTGGCGGACCCGGACGGACATAGGCGGACTTGGATGGACATTAGCGGACATTGGTGTACATTAGCGGACAAACATTTTGAGGACTGAAGAGTACTGAAGAGTACTGAAGAGTACTGAGGAGGATGGCTGAGAAGGATGGCTGAGGAGGATGGCTGAGGAGGATGACTGAGGAGAATGACTGAGGAGGATGACTGAGAGGGAGGAGAAGGATCAGGAAGACCCAGGAGGAGGAGGAGGAGGAGGAGGACCCAGAAGGAGGACCTAGGAGGAGGAGGAGGATGACTGAGGAGGAGGAGAACTCAGGAGGAGGACTGAGGAGGACTGAGAAGGAGGAGGACTGAGGAGGATGGCTGAGGAGGATGGCTGAGGAGGATGACTGAGAGGGAGGAGGAGGAGGAAGTGTAGGAAGAGTACTGAGGAGGAGGAGGAGAAGGACTGAGGAGGAGAAGGAGGACCCAGGAGGAGGAGGACCCAGGAGGAGGAGGACCCAGGAGGAGGACCCAGGAAAAGGCCCCAGGAGGAGGAGGAAAACTGGGAAGGAGGAGAACTGTTGAGGACTGATGAGGAGGACTGAGGACGAGGAGGAGGAGTAGGAGGAGGACTGAGGAGGGGAGGAGGAAGAGGACTGGGGAGGATCAGGAAGACCCAGGAGGACCCAGGAGGAGGAGGAGGAGGAGGAGGACCCAGGAGGAGGAGGAGGACCCAGGAGGAGGACTGACGATGACTGAGAAGGAGGAGGACTGAGGAGTACTGAGGAGGATGGCTGAGGAGGATGGCTGGGGAGGATGGCTGAGGAGGATGACTGATGAGGAGGACTGAGGACGAGGAGGAGGAGTAGGAGGAGGACTGAGGAGGGGAGGAGGAAGAGGACTGGGGAGGATCAGGAAGACCCAGGAGGACCCAGGAGGAGGAGGAGGACCCAGGAGGAGGAGGAGGACTGAGGAGGACTGAGGAGGAGGACTGACGATGACTGAGAAGGAGGAGGACTGAGGAGTACTGAGGAGGATGGTTGAGGAGGATGGCTGAGGAGGATGACTGAGGAGGATGACTGAGAGGGAGGAGGAGGAGGACTCAGAAGGAAGAGGAGGAGGACTCAGGAGGAGGACTGAGGAGAAATGCCCAGCTCAAGATTTATGCGAGATTGCGAGCCGGACTCATCGCACAAAATTTGTAAATAAATGAGGAAACAGAAAAAGTTTAACTTAAAAGTTGAGGGAATTAGGAACTTAACATGTATTTTATACTCTTAACGTGTATTTTATCACTTGTTTATAGCGTGAAAACTTCGACGTAACGCGCGCGAGATTTTTGCGAGTTTCGTTTAAATCTCATAGCTAGGCTCACAATATCGTGAGATTCTCCGCGAGATTTCGGCACCCTCTTTCAGCACTACATATTCGGTCGCGCGCTTGCATTTTCATCGCTTTTCAGCGTGTTTATTCACTGTACTGTCTAAGTCTTAAAGGATACTAGTTGTTATAAGATCAAGATTCACAGTGGTTACTATAGTTACCATGGTTACCATTAAAGGAGGTACTATTCCTGGCTATATTCTTTCTCAGAATATACTTGATACTGCCATAGGCATAGTGAATATTTCTTCATTAAAAGTTTGAGAAAGGGTCTCTTCAACTGGAGAACTGACTTATTAATCCTAGCAGGTAATTAACTCTGGATCCTCATCACATTGATTCCATTCTAAATTCTAGCCATAAACAAAACAAACATTACCAGATAACTCCGTTTACAATAATTTGACATGTTCCAGTGTGAACGAGGCCTTCCCCGGACAAATCCTTAAATGCCGGTCTTCTCAGTCTCTTAGTTCTCTAGATGAAGTACGAACAGTATAATCTATCGGATAACGTATATTACAAGGTGCTCTGATGATAATTTTAGTAAAATAATTAATAATTGCCAAAAGAATGACCGCTGACGAGACTCGAACCCGAGTCAACTGCTTGACGAGCGCACCCTCAACCATCGTGCTACGTGAAGCTTACCATAATTACAATATGTAACATAATATAATTCATGAAAATACGCACGTAAATTTTTCGTTATTTATGGATCCATTAACAGTGACATACTTTTCGCTTACAAAGGGACTCGCGAAATCTTTTTAAATAGAAAATAATTTGTGGGGCAAGAAATCTTGCAGGCTGGAGGGGGGGGGGGGGGGGGGGGGGGGGTGGGGACTGGGGAGTACATTTCGTGAAAATCGCACTTCTAGTGTCAAAATCCAATCTCATCGCACTTTTTTTAGAATCTTGATAGGGGGAGAAATGAGAAGGAGGACTGAGGAGAACTGAGGAGGAGGAGGACTGAATAGGAGGAGGAGAAGGAGGGGGACTGGGAGAGGACTGGGGAGGAGTAGGACTGATGAGAAGGATGAGGAGGAGGACCCAGGAGGAGGAGGACTGAGGACCGAGGAGGAAGAGGAGGAGGATGAAGAGGAGGAGGAGGACCCAGGAGGAGGAGGACTGAGGAGGACTGAGGAGGACTGAGGAGGACTGAGGAGGATGGCTGAGGAGGATGACTGAGAGGGAAGAGGAGGAGGACTCAGGAGGAGGAGGACTGAGGAGGACTGAGAAGGAGGAGGAGGAGGAGGACTGAATAAGAGGAGGAGGAGGGGGACTGGGGGAGGACTGAGGAGGAGGATGGAGGACTGAGGAGAAGGATGAGGAGGATGACTGAGAGGGAGGAGAAGGATCAGGAAGACCCAGGATGAAGAGGAGGAGGATGACTCATGTCAGGAGGAGGACCCAGGAGGAGGACTCAGGAGGAGGAGGAGGACTGGGGAGGAGGAGGACTGTTGAGGACTGATGAGGAGGAGGACTGAGGAGTACTGAGGAGGATGGTTGAGGAGGATGGCTGAGGAGGATGACTGAGGAGGATGACTGAGAGGGAGGAGGAGGAGGACTCAGAAGGAAGAGGAGGAGGACTCAGGAGGAGGACTGAGGAGAAATGAGAAGGAGGACTGAGGAGAACTGAGGAGGAGGAGGACTGAATAGGAGGAGGAGAAGGAGGGGGACTGGGAGAGGACTGGGGAGGAGTAGGACTGATGAGAAGGATGAGGAGGAGGACCCAGGAGGAGGAGGACTGAGGACCGAGGAGGAAGAGGAGGAGGATGAAGAGGAGGAGGAGGACCCAGGAGGAGGAGGACTGAGGAGGACTGAGGAGGACTGAGGAGGACTGAGGAGGATGGCTGAGGAGGATGACTGAGAGGGAAGAGGAGGAGGACTCAGGAGGAGGAGGACTGAGGAGGACTGAGAAGGAGGAGGAGGAGGAGGACTGAATAAGAGGAGGAGGAGGGGGACTGGGGGAGGACTGAGGAGGAGGATGGAGGACTGAGGAGAAGGATGAGGAGGATGACTGAGAGGGAGGAGAAGGATCAGGAAGACCCAGGATGAAGAGGAGGAGGATGACTCATGTCAGGAGGAGGACCCAGGAGGAGGACTCAGGAGGAGGAGGAGGACTGGGGAGGAGGAGGACTGTTGAGGACTGATGAGGAGGACTGAGGACGAGGAGGAGGAGTAGGAGGAGGACTGAGGAGGGGAGGAGGAAGAGGACTGAGGAAGATCAGGAAGACCCAGGGGGAGGAGGAGGAAGAGTAGGAGGAGGAAGCATCTAAATGTTATTTCCATTTTTGTCCGTTTTTGTCCATTTTTGTCCGTTTTAAGGTTTTAGTTCGCTCTATTTTTTGTCCGTTTTGAAAATATAGGGTACCGAACGGACAAAAAACATGATCCCCCTATAACAGCAAAAATTGAACATTTTATTTAGCAATTTAGGTGTACATTAATGTCCGCCTATGTCCGCCTATGTCCGTATATGTCCGCCTATGTCCGCCTATGTCCGCCTATGTCCGTCTATGTCCGCCTATGTCCGCCTATGTCCTGTCCTTTTTGGATTCTATGAGACAAGCGGACATAGACGGACGTGACACCCCCCCCCCCCCCTATATAGTAGTTCAAGCATTTTCGATATCAAAACGTGACGTCACACTCTCGCTCACGTGACGTCAGATAAGAGATTATATTACCTTATTCTCCCAGTTTGTCTTCTCTTTTGCTCGTTCCTCGTTCAAAACATTTAACTCGCTAGCAAGCCTCTTACAGTGCTCAGTCAGCCTGGAATAGTGAGGCAATGAATATAGCTGCTTCATCGTGAAGAATTTTGAATATAAATGAAATAGTTTTTAAAAGGTGACATTCATATTTAACTTCATTTTTCAACTTGATCATGACTATTAAAATACAGCTAATGCATCAGGCGAATACAGAAACTGACAGATTTACGCTCCGCTAAAACCACGAGACAAAAAACAAAACCGCACAAGGAGAACAGATAATAACAGATAAAGAAAGATAAAAACAGATAAAAACAGATAATAACAGATAACTCTTTACCTGGTGATATCAGACTGCAACTGTTCCTCCTTCTCCTTCAACTCCTCCTTCTCGCTCCTCTCTGAATCATACTTCTCTTGAAGTGATCGTAGCTGTGTTTCTAATTCCGTGTTCTGTACCGTTTTCTCCTCTCTGGTAGTTAATCAATTAGTTAAATATATGTACTAGATACGCTAACCTACTATCGACTTTAAATTTCTTATTTAGTATACAAAATATATATATATATATATATTATGTAAACCTCATCTAAGATATTAGACGACACATATTACACAGTGTTGTACTGCACTTTATTTAACTACGTACTTATATCATTACAATGGGATAAGATGTAAGATTATTGTGAGATCTTGGCTGTAGGGTATTATTACATGACCTCTAGAAGTCTATGATAATTAGTAACATATGAGTTGACCTAGAAACCACCTCATATGAATTACATTCATCGTCGAAATTATTATATTATGTGCATAATACATTATTTATAAATACCATACGTTGGCAGTCTTTATGTATGTACATTGTACCTATTTTTCAAGTTCATTTCTGGAATGACTAGATTAAACACTGCTGAGTATAAGTTTTATCTTAATAGTGGTGTTATTAAACTTCAATATTATAATATTATAGTACATACTTTATGAACAGTGTAAACTGAAATGGCGTACATTATTACACTGTCCACGGTTCTATGTCTAATATAATGCATATATAACAGTGGTCTCATAGAATATAACGCAGTGCACTGGTTTCTAATGTAACATGGTGAGTGGATAGGCGGCAGTAGATGTACAATACATAATATGTTTCCATAACTTACTCATTTTCTGTATGATTAACTGAGGTAAAGTTACCTTAACTGAGGTAAAGTTAAGTTATGACTGGAAAACTATTTTTAAAAAGGTTGGTTTTATCGATCTAAAGTAATTAAATTTAGATTGAGGATACTTTAATATTGTGTAATCACTACTACACTAAGTTTTCTAAGAAAGAGTAATTCAAGTACATATAATAAAAGTTATACATAAATATAATATAACTTATGTAATATAATTTACCTCTGTTTGTTCTGAAGTTGTTCAATCTCCTTCTCTCCTCGCTCACTCTGCTGCTTCAAATCCTCCTCCTTACTGCTAATCTGTTGTCTGAGTTCAGAGTTCTCGGTACTGACTCTCTCCAGTTCCCCTCTAATACCGGACATCTCCTCTAGCAGGTCCTCTAGTGAACTATCTCGGTCCTGGAACATTAGTGTGACGTCATGTCACGTGTGGTTACGTCATGTCACGTGGTGTGCAAAGCTATAATCATTAAAATCTTAAAGTTCACAACAAAAGTACCTTGAGAACATTTAGTTTCCTGTTAGAACTGTCCAGTTCCTGTTTTAAAGCTGCTACTTTGTTGTTTAGTAAGGTTACTTGACCAGCGTACTCCTTCTTACTGTCTTGTAGCTCCATAGCCTGGGGAGTAATTAAGGTTAATTAAGTGATTAGATTTAATTAGGGCTTAAATCAGTAGGGCTGATAGTTTAAGCAGGGGCGTTTTATAAGTAGACGCTGATCATGGTAGTTATAATTAATTATTCTAGCTTTCGCAACAGTTTGATTGTTCTCTTATCAGTAGTTTTATCTGACTTTACACCCGTACGCCGTGCTACACAGCTTACCTTTTGTACAATGGATTTTTCTGTGGAAAATCTTAACAGACTTGAAAAGGAGTTATCGTTGGCGATGAATGACATTCTGAATATTTAAAAAACTGAAAGTGTCACCGAACTGAATCATTCGAGATTGATGGGTGTAAATAAAAACCCCTTGGCTACTGCTGTTGGGAATCTTTCTAAGCTGATGACTGGTAATATTAAACTATGCAAATGTGCATTGTGCGGCCAGCACGATAGACAGACTTAAATCAGAACAGCTCAATTATCAGATCGAACAGCAACAGAAACAACTCGACTCTGTCCAGAAAACTGTATAAATCGAGATGAAAAAAAAAACAAGGAGCGACATGGTGAAGAAGAACTGCGAGGCGACTACAAAGTACAAGTGCTCCGTCTATTAACAGTAAAAAGGGGGTTGTGAAAAACGTACTTCAAGATAACATCCGCAGTAAGAACTTCATTATCTACGGTGCACTTACTAAGATGTTGCACACGACGTGGCAGAAGAAGTGATCAATGATATTTGGGATTCACACGATAATCCTCAAGCTGTGGCTGCAAGTTCGATCGGGACTAAAAAACCTGCAGGTAGTGGTAAACCGAGACCGGTAAAATTGACATTGGCTTGTGCGGAAACAGTGCAAATAGTTCTTGCCCGAGCAAGAAATCTGAAGAAATCTGGTACATGATCACACCTGACAGAAAGAAGGAGGAAAGATCAGCTCATCAGAAACTTGTTGTCAAAATAAAAGAAATGATAACTTTTCAACCAACAAAGTATCACTATATTAGGGCAGGATTTTAAATGTAGATAAGATGTATCATGTGCGTTCGTTGTCTATTTTTCTATGATTTGAGTGTCTAATTGAGACTAATGCGTATATATTTTTTGATTTTTGCTGATAATGAGAAACTGTATTGTGAGTTTTGAAACTGCAACCGTGATTGTGACTCAGGTTTGTGATGACTTGTGGAGCACACATCGCTGAATAGAAATCGCGAAGCAGGTTTCACAAAGGCCAAGTGCATATAATCTAAAGCCTTTTTCTGAGGACACATTACCAGTAGTTTTTGTTATATATAACAAAAAACATATATGTTTTGTGTTACGATACATCTTTTGATTTTTGGATATGTTGCAGTTGATATGTCCTAACAAACAGTTAGGGCATACCAGTTGGGCTAATAATTCAAGCAGGGTTTAAATCAATGGGCGTATTATAAGTAGGCGCTGATCATAGTAACGAAAAACAACTTTTATTGCTTCTCTTTCCAGTTTTGATTTTTGAAACAAGTAAAGTTCAATATCAATCAATTAGCTCAATTAAACACTAATTAAAGTAACCTTGTTAACATCTCTATCATGCAGCTCCCTCTTCAGTCCGTCATTATCAGCACTAAGTTTACTGATCTTGTCTTGTAGTGATGAGGTCTCTTTCTTGTACTCTTCTAACTGGGAGAGGTAACCGTTCTCTTTTACCTGTTAGAGGGTTAATTGGTAATTAATAAGGTCATTAATTAGGTGATTAACTAAAGGTCAGTAAGGGAATATGTTTATTGTAAAGAAGCGCCGAGAAAGTATATTATATATTAGTCTGCCGATGGCAAATCTCCGCAATTATCATTTGGACAAGTAAAGAGATCATATTTTAGTTTGTTTTGAAGCGTAACAGCGTTGGGATTTGATTGCTTCCTATTTGTTGTTGTTCGTTGTCACGTGTCTAAACAAACTTGTAACACCTCCCCACAACTATTATACTTACACTGATATCACTGTTGAGTTGTGCTATAGTATTCTCACACTCAAGAACTCTCTTTTTAGCAGCAGACACCTCGTTTGTTACACTCGAGACGTTGTCAGACTTGGAATCTACCTGCAAGTAACGTCACGTTATGTCCATATAAGTATAATGGTTCAATACAATATTTCTTTGTCCATATAAATGGGCAATGGCGTTTTTCAGATGTTTTATTTTAGAAGCGCGATGGAGCAAGGAACTGCAGTGTAAGGCTAGTATCCAGATAACAATGGAATGTTGTCACCTATACATACCTAATACAACAAGAAAATATCACCTATAAACAGAGGAATGTGTGTATGTATAAGGTCACGTGACAATACGTTAACAAACCTTGGCCTGTAGTTGGATTATATCCTGTTTGTATCTCTCCACCTCAGTTACAAGCTGGAATATCTCCTGAGATCTTAGCTCCTGGTCTCTCTTGGACTGGTCTAACTGAACCGTTAACTCAGCTGTGGTAAACAATTTGTTAGTTTTTCAATTAACAATAATTGATAAAACAATTAACTTATTTGACAATTAATTAATTGACTTACGAATTAAGTAAATCAATGGTTATTAGACTTACTAATATTGACAAGTGAAAGTGAAAGTGAAAATAAAAGTGAAAGTGAAAGTGAAGGACTCACTGATTCTGTGCCCCAACTCCTCACTATTAATATTAGTAGGGGTATGACCTCCAGTATTATCACTAATATCCACTAATATCTCGTTACTAGACGTCACCTCACCACATGCTCTCTGCTCATCTCTTTCAAACTCTAACTTTTCTAACCGCTCTTTCAGCTCCTCCTGTAATGATGTTATCATTCAATAACTAATTCATTGATTCATTAACTCATCAATCAATTAACTTTCTATAAATTTCTACGACCTGTCTATTACATTTTTTCTGCCGACATTGAGAAAATGACACATTCTCCGGTTCAAGTTCAGGAAAGGATCAGGAAAGGATATTAATGAAATTTCCCAGTTTCCTAGATCCTTAATAACCAATTTCCTATCATTAAGTAAGTTATTTTAACTTGATCTCAACTAACCTTCTCCTTGCTAAGAGAGTTGGTAGCATCAATACCGTTCTGTATCGTACTCTTACACTTTGACAGCACCTCTTCCAGTCTCCTGATCTTATCTTTAAGTTTGGAGTTTCTTCTTCTGAGTGTCTCTGTCACTACGTCATTGTACTCGCTAGCTTCACTCATTATAGACTCCTAGAGGAGTAGGGTTGTTAAATGTTAAGTCACGTGACACTACATTATATCAAATTTTAAATTCACGTATTAACTGATTTTGAAAATTTTACTATAATATGCTCAGTTCACCAAGATTTAGATTGTTAATCATTTGGTACATGACAACTCATGAGATCTGTGGCTAAAAAGGTTTACAGCTGATTTATATTGACTTCATTAAAATTAATAACATATTTAGTAATCCCCTTGGGAAAAGCAGAGATACTAAAGAGAAATATTAGTCAAATATTATTAGAAGTACTCAAATATCAAGTTTCCTGTACCAAAATTTCACTGTTGTGGCGAAATGTTTTTTACTTAGTGAGTTCACTGTGTAATGTGGAAGGAACAAGACAAGATTAAGGCACTGGAAGCATTTAAAAATTCACCAATTAGTCCCAAATACAAATGGGACATGATATGAAGGTAATACAGCTCCAGATGCTATCTAACGCGTTATAAATCAAGAGGCTTGCATATAATGAACATATTGACACGGGTGCAGAGTTGAGTCTGTACGGAACCTAGTAGTTTCAGATCCTTGTTTAACTTGCCGTACAGCAAGGTCATCCACTACTTTAGCCCGGCGAGGCACATAACTCCCTCTACAACTCCATGACAAATGCTTCATATATACTAGCCGAGTTCACAAGTTATATCTTTGTGTTTGAGAAGAGCTCGTTAGAACTGCTTCCTTTCCCTTCAGTATCCCACAGTCTCTCGAGTTTCGTAACTGCCAGAGAACTCTCTTAAACAATTACTAGACTCGGTGATTATAAATCAAGAGGCTTGCATATAATGAACATATTGACACGGGTGCAGAGTTGAGTCTGTACGGAACCTAGTAGTTTCAGATCCTTGTTTAACTTGCCGTACAGCAAGGTCATCCACTACTTTAGCCCGGCGAGGCACATAACTCCCTCTACAACTCCATGACAAATGCTTCATATATACTAGCCGAGTTCACAAATGCCCAAATAAGGTTGTACTCCAGATGCTATCACAAATAAGGTTGTACTCACAGTATCAGAAAAGCCTCCCATAGCAGATATGTTCTGGAGTTGCTCTCTAAGTGTCACTATTCTGTCATCTTTCTCTTGAAGTGACGTCACTAGCTCCCTTCTCTCGTCCACTATAGAGGTCTGGGGGAGTAGAGAAGAGATAAGAGATAAGAGATAAGAAATAAGAGATAAGAGGAGAGGAGGAGGTGTTATTGTTTCAGGTTAGAAGTATAAACAGGTAATGTTTAGTACGATTATTCCACGATTAGGTAATTAAATAATCCATTAACCAACTAAAATCAAATTACCGTGGTGTCTTTGAGTTGTGTTATTTTCTTAATAGCCCTGTCCTGACTGACCGTCAGACATTTCTGAAAAAGATAGGAAATTTTATTCCCTTTCTCAATAATCTAATCTGCTGCGGGTGCTGCAATTAAAGAAGTTATTATAATTTGAGCCGGCCGCCTTCAAGTGAGGAAATAATTAAAACTCCTGATATAAACCACTCTGTAGACGAGAACTCCCCTCAGAACCCTTATATTTAACCGTTAAACTGGCTCATGGAAATGAATCCCTCTGTAAGGTCATAATATGTGCAGTTTACGTTTGTAAGGTTGCTCCTCAATTTTCAATAATTAAAATAACAATTTCCTCCCAGCCCCATTATTTATACACATTGTACATGTTAATGTCATGTACACACTATACTATACAGGTCTATATTGTACAGTGTGTACAGTTTACAAAGTACATGTAATAGAGTCAGGGAACTTGTACGACTAGCTTACACAATGTTTCTCCAAAACTAAACCCTCTGCATCATCAATCACCGTCCGTTTATTTATGTATTTATAAGTCAAGAATAATCGTTTTGTAAGCTTCATAGTCCACACTGAGCTAAATATGACCAAATAAGATATGTATTATAAATACATACCTGTAGATTTTCGTTCTGTTTCTGTAGCTTCTGGCAAGTCACTGACAACTGAAATAAGATAACGGTCAGAGTGAACAAAATCTGAACAGACACTTTCGGTTCCAGTTTCAGTTTCAGTTTAAGACAATCTGACACTTATTATGTATGTGACTATAGCAAATAAATGAATGTCGCCGGAGAGGCACCATTAGAGTAGAGCGAATAATGCGACTTCGCAACCAACAAAATGGTGCTCTGAGTGTTACGGAGTTATCTGCAGTTATACTTAGCTGCCATTTACCCAAATTGAAACTAGCTTCAACTGCTAATTTATCTCTACACATGTGAATAGTAAACAGTTACATTTGAAATTATCAGAAATTTATCTCAGTTGTACCGTCAGATGTGACTGAGAAACATGTATTTAGGTACGTAATGTACTAGTTATGTATTATATTATGTATTATACGTATTTACTATTTAGGGATATTTGCAGGAATGACGTGTTGGTATAGAGAGCGTCCAGAATCCAGATAATTGACTAGCACAAAGCACAAGCCGTTTGACTAGAATTTAGAGATACTAAGATAATCCACAAATGTGATAAAAACTGTGTAGAATAATGGGACTCACCTCAGAGCCGTTGTCAGAGCCTAAAGAGTTAACAGAAAGCGAACTAGAACACCTCCTTAAACCACGATACGACACATTACTTCTAGACCTCCTAACACCACTAATACTTTCTCTTTCACCTTCTAGATTCGGTTTCACTTTCAATGTACTACTGGATTTCCTTAGCCCATACTCAGGTACAACTCCGTTCAAGATTCCATACTTCAGATGCGGTGACAGGTTTTTAGGGGTGCTAGTTTTAGAGGTGTTTAAAGAGTCGGTGTTTTGAGAGGATTGTGATTTGCGTAAGGAGTACCGTGACGTCACAGGAGGGGGACCACTGTCGCGCTTATCTGATCTGGTCGCACGTGCTGATAAAATGTGCTCTGATGGTGACTTCTTTACACGTGCAATATTGCTGGAATTTGTGGTATTTTGTTTCCTGCTAGGAGGAGTTCTGGCGTACAAATACTTGCTTTCCTTGATGAAAGTCTCTATTCTCTGACTTGGTAAAACACTGACATTTGAGCAACTCTGAGATTTAGAGACTGATGTTGGTTCTGGAGACGATGTTTTAGAAGCTGGTGTTGGTTCTGGAGATGATGTTACGTGGTGCGGTTCTGTTATCATTGGAATGGGTTCTGGAGAGTATAGGGTTGGATCCGGAGACTCCAAACTGATAATACTGGAAATGTCTGAGGTTACAGAAGCAATATCATCGTAAACATCTGCGGTGTTTTCTTTCCCCACCGCAGTTCCGTTACTAAAAACTGGTTTCATTGTGCCTGATTCTGGGGTGAATTTTCTGGGTTTAATAACATTCTCTATGGGATTCTGGAGTTTGAGGTTTCTGGGTGTGATAGGTTTAGGACCGTGAGGTATTTTTAGTTGGGGAACACCACTTTGACTTGATCCAGCCCCACGTGACGTCATCACCTTGTCACGTGACGTTACAACTTTAGGTTTAGAAGGGGTACTATAAGCTAAAGGTGCAAACTTTTTCTTGCTTCCTTGAGGAACTCCCGATCCATTTGATGAAGGTTTGGAAGGAGTACTTGTAGACAAGGGATCAAACTTTTTCCTAGTCCCTTGAAGAACCCCAGACTCATGGGTAGCGGGATTACGTTTGGTAGTTGTGTTGGAGAAGGTTTTAACTGCTGTTGGAGATGAGAACCTCTGTACTGATTTGGTGGAAGAGGAGGAGGGGTTTGTGGAAGAGGCGGTAGAGGGGTTTGTGGAAGTGGCGGGAGAGGGGTGCAGGTGGGTGGAAGAGGCTATATTGTCTTTATTAGGTGAAGGTTCCGGTTTTGATTCACCAGCTTCCAATCTATCTGATTTACTTGATGGTAGGATGGGTTGGCTATTAGCCATCATGGTTTGTCGAGTATATTTCAAGGGTAAAAGAGGATACTGCCCGTCTGAAGATGGACACCAGAGGAGTATGGGATGAGTTACAGAGGAGTAAAAGAGGAGCAGCCTGCAGCACCAGCCAGGTTGTATTTATATCAGGACTAGAATTGAAGGAAAGGATAGGGTATCTTCCATGGGAGATGGGCTCTATCTGTTCAGTAATAACGATTTAAATCTAATACTATTTAGTCAACATACTTATTAAAGAAATTACTAATTGGAAAAGATTTCAAAATTCAAAAGCTTAATACAGAAATGGGATCGTACAATAAAAGACAATAAGAGTGATTCACAGTATATTACTATTAGATAGCAAACTCGAATTGGTAACGAAACAAAATGAAAAATAAGCAATTTGACAAAGATCCAGCACGTTAATGCAAAGAGATTCAGTAAGTAATTTCTAATGTGCACAAAATAATATTACGCAAGTAACTGCACAATAAGCTATAACACGTCATCTCTGGAGTGGTAAGCCACTAGTAAACAGTCTACACTCGACAGTAAAACTGAGAAATAGGAACTAGAATATCATTGTTAGAATAATATGCAGACTAAAAAGTAATCCAATTGAGGCTAGCAAATTACAGAACAGAACGTTCAGTCGAAACGGTGTAATAAATTTGCATTAACAAGCAGGTTTGGCAAAATGTATCTAGTGTATACATGTGGTGTACTGAACGTGGAGCCAAGTTGAATGATTGAGCCATTGTTTATTAGCCCACATAGAGTATGTTGAATGTTGATAATATCAGCTATTGTTGAACAATTAACACGATGCCTTGGTATATAATAGAGTCATAGAGTACTGCAATCATTACAATAACCACACTGCGACCTAATAATCTAGCTTGTACAATGAACTTGTCTCAATGTACAATGTACCTGTCTCAATATATACATCTGCTGCTTCAACGATCAAAACAAATGTTATTTTACACCAGTACATGTTACTCCATATTATACACTATATTTATATTTTAACAAAATGCAACATTTGATTTCAACTTTTTAACTCTTCACAAGCAAAAATGAAATGTTTGACCCTTCAAAACATAGCAGAGACAACCTTCACTGAACTAAAATACAAATTATTGAATGCGAACTAAATCTACATGAACTAACAGAACTACATCACTATATATCAGAGAGGTGCACCACCCACCTGCTGCCAGCAGTACAGTTTACTTGCTGGTTATGAGGCAACATATTATGTAGTGTACGAATGGATTGATCAACAGTTTGCGCAACTTTATAAAATATTGGTATAATATGATTCATATCATGTTAAAATTCATTCCTTTCAGGATTACTACTATTGTTTATTTAATAAAGTAACTACCACTTTTGTTAAGACTTTATCAAAGATTTCAATGAGCAACATGTTATCCTATATCATTAATTACAGCCCGTATAATGACATGAACTAACTAAGCAGTGAGCAAGAAAACAAAGGCCACTACAACAGAGAGAGCTGCAGGAAGGAGAGAGTGACCACTAAAAACTAAAGTTCACAACTGACGGTATATAATGATGATGATGGTGGTGTAAACCACTTCAACTGATGATCACGTAATATGATACACGGAGAGTAAGAGTGTGACGTGTAATTAGGGAAGGGACTACTAGTCTGAACATTTGAGTTACAATATGAACCTTGAGACTGTTTAGTTAACTAGGGCTAATTGGTTAATAAAACTATTATGGCCCGCTTTATACCAACGAGCAAGTACTTCACAAAACACAAGATAAAGTTCAAACTAAACACGCAAAGTAAGCTAACCTGCAAACAATTGAAGAAACTGAACTGTAACTATACAAACAAAGGTAACAAGTTATACAATATACATTATACAACCTGTAAAACTAAACACAAAGACTGCACAGATTACAAAGATAACACTTGTTTTAATACAACATAAAAAACAAACAATACCCCAAGGAGCCTGGAACAATATAAACTACAGCCAACATATCGACTACTGTTGCGGCAACTTGAGAAATATCACTAACGCTCTCGATATGGAATAATTGGCGAGCATTAGAAAAGTTGGTATTTAGGGTGGCGGGAAGCGGTGCACATTCTGCAGATTGTTTACACTTTACATGTGGTGTACTGTACAGAATGTGTGACGTCATCACGGGGTTCGTGACGTCATCACGGGGTTAAGGTGAACATGACGTCATCAAAATACCACAGTGTCGGCATTTCAGCTAATATTCCCAGTATTTCATTAGGTGAGGGGTTACAGTTTACACAGACGAGCACAGAGAGGTGTACTTGAATTTAGTGCCAACGGGAACTGTGATACACGGTTTCAATGATGCCGTTAATTGTAAAATGTAAATTCTGGCACCTCTTGACATTGGTTAGTGAAGGAAAGTGTAGGTTTTTACGTGGGGATTATTTTCTGTAAAACACAATTTTGCGTTATCACACCACGTGACGTCACCACAAGACCACGTGACGTCACCACAAAACCACGTGACGTCATCACAACTAACCTTGTCAAGTCTTTCCCTGTTCTTCCCGTATCTCAGCTTGTATCTCTGGTATCTATCATACAGTTGTTCGTACGTCATACTGTGTCCTAGCTCGCTTGTGTCGGATACTATTGATTCAGACAGTTCAGAGATGTCTATCAGAGCTGAAAACATGGAGTAGGATAAACATGGGGTAGGATAAACATGGAGTAGGATAAACATGGGGTAGGATAAACATGGAGTAGGATAAACATGGAGTAGGATCTTATACAGGATGTTGTAGAGAATTAAGTACAGAAAATAACGCAAATATTGCGCTGAAAATTAAGAGTAGGTCAGTGAATTTGTCTACGAAAATAACACAAATACGACGGCATTAAAACACAACATGAGGTCACCACAACACCACGTGACGTCATCATAACACCACGTGACGTCACCACAACATCACGTGACCCCACTCACCAGCTCCGCTCCCCGCGGTACCAGGTTCCGTTACAAGAGCAGTCTCCTTCAGGATCTCAACCTGGGACTGCAGCTGGAAAATGAGCTCTGACCGCTCGTTCAGCTGCTTCCTGTACTCGGTGGTGAGGGAAGCTTCTGTTTTATATTTACGTAGATCCTCCCTCATGGTCTTAGTATCTTCCTGATTTTAGGAAATAGCTTAGATACAAGTTAAATAACATATTTTATTTAAGGGATAATTGGCACATGATCCTTTTACGGGCTATAGGTACATACTTTATCATCGAATAATACCACGAAAATTCCATGCGTTCGAAACAAAGAATTATTAGACTTGCATTTAATTAACAGCAGCAGTAAATTCAGGCAGACATTTAAATAATTTCTTGACAATTAACACCATTATACTTAAAATAGATATCATGCTAAAATAGAGATATTTCAAGTCTAAAACAATCAGTAAAATTAGTAAGAAGATAACCTGAAGATTGTTCTGGGCTGCTACCACGCCGTTATACTGCCCAATTACATACTTTAACTTCTTACGTAGCTTTAGTCTGCTTACTGCCTGTAAGGTTGACAAATTAGGGTACAAAAATAAGCAACTTTGAGGTTTTAAAGTATAGTATAGTAGTATAGTATTATTTTTGATATGAGTCACTCTGAGTTTGTGGGTCTCATTGAAATGAGAGTACGAGATTGTGAATATGGGCTCGTCCACCCACCCCTCTCAGAGTGGTGCAACCTGCGTCAGAGGGCACCTAATACCGGGGTAAAATAGCACCTTTAATGGTAAGATTTTACTTAGATTACTGTAGCAGACACCACTTAACATGTACACACAGCAAGTCCACATTGACCATGTTACAAACCCGGCCATTGAATCATTAAGATATATTTAAATGGAATATGGAATATGGACACGGTTATTTGAGTAGCCTAATCCAGTGACACGGATCACACAAACCGTTCATATGATAACGTTCTAATTAAGTGTTACAAATTATAAGTAATAACACAGATATGACGTCATCACACCACCACGTGAAATCATCACAACACCACGTGACGTCATCACAACACTACGTGAAATCATCACAACACCACGTGACGTCATCACAACACTACGTGAAATCATCACAACACCACGTGACGTCATCACAACACTACGTGAAATCATCACAACACCACGTGACGTCATCACAACACCACGTGACGTCATCACAACACCACGTGACGTCATCACAACACTATGTGAAATCATCACAACACCACGTGACGTCATCACAACACCACGTGACATCATCACAATACCACGTGACGTCATCAGGAAGTCTTACCTGTTTTCTAAACAAGTCAGGTAGTTGGTTGCCAGGAGTCAGGATGACAAGTTTGTCAATCTCCATCATCTCATCCTCTGTTACTTGCATCACTGAGTCTGGAGTGTCAATGTCCTGGGCGAGCTACGGAATGCAGGTACAGAACGGTGTTTTGAAAATCGGTTAACAAATATTCTTAATTGTCAGTTGGAAGATAAGACCTTATCTCTAATAAAATTACAGCTATTTTAACCAAAAAGATCAGTTATAGATCAGTTATTAACACACTTTAACAATACTGAGCAGCTTTTATAACGATATTAACTTGATAGTAAACTAAAAAGGAAGAACAACCACATAAGTGACATTATACATTATATACCTTTATATGTATATCAAGGAGGAAAACTATACATCGCTAACAAGAGTGAATAATGATGCAAAGTGTAATGAGACTAGCTGATGTCCCATTTTTATATTAATTCACTAATTACACACCACTGAAACAAGTAACATAATTCCAATTAATTAGCTAATTAACTAATTACCATTGAGGAATTAGTGACAACATCAGTTATCTTTTGTCTGAACTTGCCGAATAGTCCTCCTCCACCGTCAGAGTTATTACTGTTGTTAACCATAGAGGTATTGGGAGTGGAGCTATCTTCTATGCTAAACGAGGCCTGTGAAAAGTGGTGAATAGTTTATTAGTATTAATATTAGTACTATCAGTATTAATCTACAGTCTATTAGTATTTAATTATATGAATTAGGTGATTTTAGATTTTTCTCATACAACAATCAGTTAGACATTAGTTTCGTAAGGTAAATGCGCTGAAAATACTGCTGGATAAGCCTGAGCAACAAGGAAAGAGCAGAACGTGGTCACAGAAAGAATAAGAAAATTACACTTTTCCCCACTTACATCATTGCTGGCAATGGACTCGTTGAGCCGCGCTTTTAGGCCTTTAAACATGTTGAGAGATAGTTGAGGGAGAGTAACAGTGTCTTAGGGTGAGGATGACATGGCAGCTACTGTAGGAGTTATTAGTAAATTACAGTAAAAATCCCATTTACCGCACCCCGATTTAGTATTCACCACAAACCCTGATTTACCGCAGACCCGATTTAGCACGGCCATTTCCTTTCCCCAACCTCTGAATCAGAGTTTTATAGTTAGTGGGGTTTTAATGTTATTAATTCATTAGTCAGGTAAATGAGCAGAACCATGGAGTCAGATTACATCACTCAGTTAACAGTTTAAAATAGCAAAATATTCAGTGTTTTCAGAAAATATCAAATAAATTTTCGATCACGCACTAATTACATACTTTAAAATAATTTATATTGTTAACTTTAAATTTGTTTGATATTTAAATACCGATCAGTTGACCTATAATGCCTCGAGCAAGTAACCTTTTAACTTCTTAAAATAGGTCGATATAAAATGTAGATTCTTACAAAAAGTTATAAGATTGATTCAAACAAAAGCCATTCCTATAGCTATAGGTCTGCTTATAAATCTATCACTAAGTCATCTAATAGATAACATTATTAAAATAATAAACTAAAAAACAATAAGAAACAGGGTTGAATCATAAAATTAAATAAATCTATCAACTTCGTTAGCAGAAATCATAAAAATAATTTAAAGTAAATAATACAATTTGAACCTAAAATTGTCAATTTGAGGAAACATATATTTCATTATAAATTAAATATATCTAACAACTGAACTACTTCTCACTTGACAGCATACCCGTAAACATGGGGTGCTAAGCTTCTCATAGGACCAGGCATTCTCACTCCATTAAAATTCAACTCCAGATAAGATAAGTTCACTTTACTAAATCCGGCTGTTTCTATCTGCGTTCTAAGGTCTCCGATGTGACAGTTCCAATAGGACATCTGGAAAATTGTATTGTAATTGTTTTGATTAAATATCAATAATGATTCAGTTAAAATGGAAGCTGGTTAAAATGTTTATATGATAACGAATAATATGGAGTCTCCAAACTTTTATCAAAGCTGAAACACATCCACTACTGAAGCAGTGACAAGTTGAGAAAGGTTACTATACTGTTGCCTACTTATGAGAAATAAGTTAGTATAAAGTACCTGTAAAATAAAGTTCATCTGAGAAAACCAAAATGCACTGTACCGCCTCTCAGTAATCACATGTTCAATAAAGTACATCTGAAGAAGGAAAGTTCAATTAATGTGGTCACAAATTTTTTATCAGGTGATTCACGAATGACACTGCCTTCAAAGCATCATGACACATCACATGGTGACAAGACATTGTTAAATAGTAAAACAACATTGAACCTACTTTGCCATTAGGTTTGAGTACACGAAGAAATTCCAATAAAGCTAGATTAGGGTTGGGAGAGGAGCAGAGACTGTGAATACACACCACAGCTGAGACAGTGTTATCTGGAACAGTCATCAGTCGCTCTGGTATTGTTTTTAGGAATCTGGGGGTAGGTGATGTCACATGATGTTGTGGTGTTGTGGTGACATGTTTGGCATCCTGATTTATGAATTAATAATTGATGACACAACATCATGTAGCTCACCTATCAAGTGTTATCCGAGGTTCTTCATTATTGAAGTTCTGTTCCAGGTGCTCCTTAGCTCCCCGCCAGTAATCTATAGCTATGTAAATACAGCCGTCAGGATAGTACGATATATTTGTACCTGAAAAGAAAGTGATTTAATAACCTCATAGAATAAAGTTAAATAAGCTTAAACAAGAAGCTAGATTAATTCCAAATTGTGATAGATGATATAGTGGCATGCATCAGAGGAGATGACAGAATTGAACAAAAGTCACAGCCATGACTTGGAGGGTAAAACTTTGTACAAGCAGATCAAGGGAGGATGCAAAAATATATCTCAACAAGAGATCCAACAGTGTGTAGTATTGTAATAAACAAACCTCCCCCGGCGTTGAGTTCCAGAAGTACCAGTTTACCCTGCTCGTTCAATGGTAGATCATGTGACCCTTCTTTCAGCTCCTTCAATAAGCCCCCCTTTATCTTCAACAAGTCGGGAATTGTGGTGGATCTATGAAAATACCTGTAAAATATCACATCATTAGTGAAAAGTAAATGCGAGGAGAGTAATACTGACCAAGAGAGCTAGAGAAAATGCATAATTTAGAAAATTAAGGTTTCCAACCTGCTTTGTATCTCTACATTTTTGAAGAAGGAAGTCCTACGGAGGAGGAAAGGTATAAGCCTCAGACCAACAACCGTAGCTGAAATTGACTGTTATGTAAATTCGGTTCTTCAAAGTTCAGTTTTTTTTCCTTTATTTTTACCAATCAAAATTATTGTAAGTAAAAAACACAGCTCCATTATTATCCATATATGGTCTAGAGATTATCGAGTCAGATTATCAAGTCGTCATCGTTTCAAGGAATGAGATACATTAATTAATCAGATGACTCACATCAACTTACTGGCACCATAGAACAAGGTACGTACAAAACGGTTTTTAGGGAGCCAGCTATTGATCCAGCTTCCAACCTCCTTTAAGTTCTCCACCACATCACTCAAACTATAGTCTTCTGACAGTGAAATAGCACTCACTGTCGTTATACATGTGACCAGTGTGGCAGTCATACTACTGAATGGTTAAGTTATTGTGAGAGATGTAGAAACGAACTATAATAGGACATTGAATATTGTTCATAAAAACACAAATAGTGATTTCCAGTAACATCCAAAGGTATACTCAAAGGGATCCTAGAAAGACTAAAAATGTTTCGGGAGTGAATCATTATATTGCAATATAAATGATTGTGAAGATCAAACTTAACAAGTAGCTAAACAATTGAAACATCCCAGAAAAAGAAAACAGACTACATGAAATATAAAATAGCCGAATGTCAGTTTTATGTTCATTTTAAACTCGTTATTTTAGCGAGAATAAAATTCCTAACTCCGCAATAAGCTCTAATTAGTTAAGGAATAGTAGTAAAATTGTGTTCTGCCAATGTAATTGCATCACTTGATTCAACTAAATGTTTATATTGTTAGAATGATACTGATGTCCAGCAGACTTTTGTAAATTAAAACCCCATTCAGGATATTTTGCTCGATACACAAAAAAAACACAAAAGACAACTAATTTATATATTTTTGGACCAATCTTTGACTAATCATTTAATAGAAATGCTAAAACAATATTGATAATTTTTAAAATATTGCTTTTAGAAATTTAAAATAGACTGTTAACAAACAATTTAGTTCTAGCAGCACGTCAAGTCGTGCTTTTGCTGACGACCTAACTCTGATGTCTCCCAGGCTGGAAAAGATGAAGAAGCTAATAGATGTGATGGAAAGATTTCTTACTTGGTCAAGGAAAATGAAAGCCAAGCCGAGTAAATGCGTATCCCTGGGGATGAAGGTTATAGATGGAAGGTATGTGTCCTATGACCCTGAAATTTTCATAGATGGAGCTCAAATCCAGTTTATTGGAAATACACCGATGAAGTTTCTTGGCCATTGGATATATGTGGATCTGGGCCTCAAAGATACCAAGAAGCTGATAGAAGACAAACTGATTACACTGTTTCAGGCAGTGGACGGATCAGGCCTTAATGGAGTGATGAAATGCTGGATTTACAACAACCTCCTAACCAGCAAGCTCTCCTGGGACCTGATGATCTACAATCTCCCGGTTAGTTTTGTCAAAGATCTTGAAGCAATATGTACGAAGTATCTGAAGAAATGGCTAGGTGTAACAAAGACAATTACTGTCAGTGTGCTTTACAGAAATAAGGATTGCTTTGGATTGAATCTTAAAAGACTATTGGACTTATACAAGTTCCTTCAGGTGTCCAAAGGTTACTCTCTAAAGAACAGCAAGGATCCTAAAGTTAAGGAGGTCTACGAGCACAGGGCCAAGAAACAAGAAGGGAGCAGTCGGTGGGGTTACACTAATGAGCTGAGTGCTAGAGAAAGAGATCTCTACTTCAGAGAGTTAGTAGGGGTAACAGTGCAAGGCAGGATGGGCTTGGGATCCAAGAGGAGTGTAGCCAGTGAAAAGGAAAAACTGAAAGAACTGGTATCCCACATCTCAGAGCAGGATATCCTGTTGACACTGGTAGACAAGGGAGTTCAAGGACAATTCTTAACATGGGAAAACACCATGCAGCTAGACCTAGGTTGGAACAACCTTATTTACAACTACAAGATGAGCCCTGCTCTTCTTAAGTTCCACCTCAATGCAACCCATGACGTTGCAAATACTCCAGCAAACATGAGCCTGTGGAACTATGCTGACACAGGACACTGTCCACTTTGCGGATGGAGACACTGCAACATTAAACACATTTTGGTAGCTTGCAACTTCTCGCTAAACAACAAACGATACAATTGGAGGCATGACAACGTGCTGCGGGTCATTGCGAAATCCCTACTGGATCAAATCGAGAAGTTCAACAACAAAGATTTTAAACTTGAAGTTCAGGACTGGACAGGCTTCAAGTCATCTAGCAGCTGTTACCAAAAACCGAAGACGAAGATGAAAAGAGAGAGCCCTTTTGAGAAAGACCAAGATTGGCAGATTATCTGGGACGAAGATGACCTCCCAGCACAGTTCCCCCAGCACATCTACGGAACTGCAGAACGTCCCGATATTGTAGTCTGGTCTGATAAAGGAAAGGTGGTCATATTAGTAGAGTTGACAGTTGGTGACGAGAGTAACTTTAGTGACCAAGTAGAACGTAAACAAGCACGTTACAACAGAGAGCTTATTCCTGGGCTGCATGGCAGTGGGTGGAAAGCTCAGCTCTTTACGGTAGAGGTTGGGTGTAGAGGCTTCTGGCATCATACCTTACCAGCCCTACTAAACTACTTTGGTGTTACAAAGAGAGTAAAGAAAGCAGTGTTCCAAGAGGCGGCTTTGGTTGCTCTCAGATGTTCCTATGCAATCTGGTTAGCAAGAGAAAACAAGAAGTGGAGTCCCTGCTACAACATCGCACAAAGACCCACTATTCTACCATCAACTGAGTGAGCTGAGTGTTGGGCCCTTAAAACATTGTTTAAAGCCACACCTGGAATCTCAAGTACCAGGATCAGTGATGGAAGCTAAGCAGATACATAGATGGAGTTGCTATCGAAAGATATAGAACTCAGGTATCCAACATCGTACCTTGATTATATTGTAGTATTTTCTTTGGCAAAAACATAAAACTTTCAAAAATTAACAAAAATTACTATTTTAATTTTTCGCAGAATTCATATTTTATTAAATACACATTGATTTAATTATTGTAAATCAATAATTAAATATGATGTTAAGATTTAACTTAAACGTATTCAATATTATTTTATAAATAAAAATATCTCAACGCGCCGCGCATTTTGTTCAATTAAACAAATAATCAATTAAACAAATAATCAAAGTTTTAGCACATTTTACAGCATAAAATTTAAACAAATGAAAACATATAATGCTCTTAGTGGTAAATGGCCATTTGTTCTGAGCTGTATGATTTTTTGACAATCAACTAGCGGGGCAAGGAATGTACTGGCTGGTAGCTTTTGTACACACCATAACGCTAGTCTGGTTGATTAGTGACCAAATTAGAGGCGTTGATAGGAAGGCATTATAATTTGTGGGTGTAAGAGGAAATATTTGGCATGCATTATTCTAGCAGCTATTTTGTAACAAATGGTCTTTACGATTATTAAGGACGGTAAGTATTTTGGGTGTTCAATACTAAATCATGGCTAAATGTCTAAGTAGGGGCCGGGGGTTTAAATTTAAGGGAGAAAAATAAATGAATATTGGGTTATAATATTAACGTCCCGTATCATACCGTACTTTGAAAATCGAGCGCTCCTGCAAATCTGCCGTATATCCTTTTGAAGTCATCGTGATTTTTAATATGACTGTGTTTATATGCTGTAAGAATCTCTCCACGTAGCAAAAGCAATGAGAAGAAAGATTGAGAGACTGTATCAAAAGAATCATGATTGCCCAGATTATAAACGACTGTACAGGAAAGCATCAGAGAGAGCATCCTCAGTCATTGTATCCACAAGAGATCACTTCTACAAAACAAGGTTACAAGATAGTGCAGGTGATGCTAAAAAGACTTATTCCATCGTTAATAAGTTGCTCAATAAAGAAAAAGTTAGTACTACTACACCTTCTTGCTCTTCAAATCTTGAGAGTGCTAACAACTTTGCACAGTTCTTTAAATCAAAGGTCGACAACATATACAACAACATTTATTTAGAACAACAATCCCTTGAAGATTCTCCTAACTCAGATGAATCTGTTCCTCTTTCTAATAGCCCAAAGATAGTACAATTCCGTCATGTGTCTGATGAGGAACTAGTAAGCATCATTAAGAATATCTCTAACAAATTCTGTGATCTTGACCCCATACCTACAAAGATTCTCATCAAGTGTCTCCCAGAACTCCTTCCTCTGATCTCATTTATAGTCAATGAATCATTAGTTAAAGGTGAGTTTCCTATAAAACTTAAGGAGGCTCTCATTCGTCCAAGTTTGAAGAAACGTGGCCTTGACGGTGAATTACTATCTAACTATAGGCCTATTATTAGTCACCTGAGTAATTTAATCCAGCACATAGAGATGCTCCGCCAGATCTCTCAGGAACAGCTTGCCAGGAGAAAGTTCTTTGCCGCGGATATTTCAGCTTTATACACTAACATAAACGTACAGGGCTGTATAGACGATGTCATTGAGCTAGCTACAGAGCACCGAGACAGTTTGGACCTGATGGGACTCAGCCTGACAGACATTCATGAGATCCTACTACACATCCTTACCAACTCTTTCTTTGTGTATAACAGGACTCTCTGGCTACAGCAGGATGGTCTGTTCATGGGTTTGAGGCCAGGGCCCTTCTGTGCCATCATTAGAGTGTACAAGTTCGAGAAGAACTCTATCTACACCGATCGACACTACCTATCGGTATACTTATCGAACTTCTACAAACGCTACATAGATGATGCTGCCAGTACTGCAGAGACGAAAGAAGAAGCCCTTGCTCTGGTTCAACAGATTGCAGACCAAGATCCGGACAAAAAGTTGAAGTGGGAGGTCGACTTTCCAGAACAACAGGACGATTTTATCCCCTTCCTGAACACTGAGGTCCGGATCGAGCCAAACGGTAAATTAACCAGCAGATTGTACCGCAAGCACATTGTGTATACACCATCTCACATGTATTGTATCTTTTACCTTATCATCTGTTATCACTTACATCTTAAATCATCTGTTATCACTGTACATGTCATTCCATCACACGATCACAATCACGTACTTGCTGTTTAGTGGATGTTTTAAGTTTATTGAATAGCAGATCGAGTAGTGTTGTATATATATAGATTTTGATTCTAATTTTAGTCGAGTATTTGAACAATTTGTTGTCGTTTAGCCATTTTTGATTAATAAATTTTATGAGACAGTTTTCTCACACATTTACCAATTTTGTCAGCATGAATAAGAAGTTGTTACTTTGAAACGTCGTTTATCCTAACAGTGCAATATCATTTGTCGCAAATCAGAATAATCAGAAACTATTTGGAAAAACCCAAAAACTGTCTATAGGCCTATTAGCAATCTCTCATTCTTGTCAAAAATCATTGAGAAGTGTGTATCTATACAGCTCACCAGTTATCTTGAGGATAACAACTTGCTTTCTAAAGTTCAGTCCGGCTATAGAAAGTTTCATAGCTGTGAAACTGCAACAACCAGAATCCATAACGACTTACGACATCTTGATAACTATTGACAAGAAAACTAAAGTTGTTCTTTTACTTCTAGATTTGAGTGCTGCCTTTGATACTGTCAATCACCCAAGATTAATCAAGAAGCTAAGATCTGCTTATGGCATTACAGGCATTGCTCTTACATGGATCAGGTCCTACTTGGCTAACCGTTCATTTTGGGTCAAAGTCAAGGATTCGTCTTCCTCATCAACTGTTCTTGAGATAGGTGTGCCACAAGGTTCAATCCTTGGCCCCCTGCTATTCATATTGTACACCAAAGATCTTGAGAACATTGCAAGTATGCATGGGTGCTGTACTCATTTGTATGCTGATGACACCCAGCTGTATTTCACTCTTGATTCTGATGACCCATCACAGCTAGAGCACAATATGGAACACTGTATGTCTGATATCAAGAAATGGATGACAAACAATTTCCTTCAACTGAATTCTTCTAAGACTGAAGTCATCGTTATATCCTCTAAATTTGACTCAAAAAATATTCCAGCCTCTCTACAGATTGTTAAGGATCAAGAGCCACATGCTGTTAGTGGAACTGTGAAGAGTCTTGGGCTGTATTTGGACAGTTATCTTTCAATGAGTGATCAGATTACGTCAGTGGTTCAAGCATGTAATATTCAGATCAGAAATTTGTGGTTTATTGCATCAAAACTGTCTTTTAACCTTAAGATTCAGCTTGTTCATGCTCTAGTACTCTCTAGAATTGATTATTGCAATAGCGTATATTTTGGACTGAGCTCTTATGATTTAAGTCGTTTACAGAAGGTGCAAAATTCTGCTGTAAGATTTATTTTCGGGAGAGGAAGAAAGGCACACACTACTCCACTACTTAAGAAAGTTCATTTTCTACCAGTTAGATTTAGAATAGATTTTAAGATTGCCCTACTTGCCTACAAGTGTTTAAATAATATAGCTCCTCCTTACTTAAAAGAGTTGATATCTCCTAGGCAGCAAAGTTTTAAAAATGTACGTCTTGATAATGATTATTTTTACCTTAGTTTTCCGCCCTCTCCTAACTATGTAAACACAGAGAAAGCTTTTAGTCACTGTGCAGTTAAAGTATTTAATTCCCTGCCATACGACATAAGATCAGCTGAGTCAGTTGCATCTTTCAAGACCAAACTTAAAACATACTTCTTTTCTCTAGCATTTGATTGATTTTGCATTTACATAGGTAAAATGAACTTGTCATGTCTAATTTTCAATTAAACTAAGCTCAGTTAATGTAAGAGCCGCTTTAGAAAGCACTGGAGTTTATCTCCAGGATTAAATTATATCGAGTTATATGATTTAGCTATAAGGCGGTTTATAAAAGTTGTATTTATTATTTTATTATTATTATTATATAAATATATTGCTTGACTATCATATTCGATTTCTAACGATTGTTAGAATGCTTGTAATTTTAATTCCTTGGGATTGTGTTAAAATCATTGCTTGAATTGAACTTATAACTGAAAAACGCTTTTGTGACGCAATACTTGTTGTAAGTAATCTAGAGGAAAGAGCTTTGTAATTTCAAAAAGTTTTTGCTTGAAAAGGAAAACGAAAAACATTCAATGGGCTCTAGTTAAATTTGTCGCAAGAGAAGTTTGTATAGTTTTTCTGTATTGTTCTGTACGATAGCTAAAATGGCATGTTTTGATATCTCAGTTTGACGACGTAATAGCAGGCTGCTTCTTTAATTTGTTTACCATTAACCCTACACAGTGAGTTAGAAGCAGGATGGTATACAGACCCTCATGGAAGATGTTTGACGGATGTTACTCGTCTAATTTTCTTTGAAGTAGCGCGCCGCTTTCTTCTCGAAATGTTAGCCTGAGGCAAGTGCTACAAAGTAGCGCGCGCCGGGCTAGTCAATTAACAATGGACAAGGAAGATGTGGGAATGATTGATGTAGTTCAGTGGCATAACGTTGAATGTTGGCGTCATTCCCCCTCTTAAAGTAGAAACGTAAAATTGGTTAAATTAGGCCTCTAAAAAATCTGTAAATCTCTAAAAAGTGTGTTTCTAGAGCACAGTGTCAGCAGGGCCCTTTGTTACGCCACTGATGTAGTTCCTCTGATTGCAACCACAGATTCGAGACACATTGATTCTCTATCTATATCTCATTCCATCAGGAAAGTAAGGGGTTGATACACCAGACCACTGAGTCTGCTTCTTCTAGGATTATCAGGGCCATTGCATTTTAATCACCTAATTTGTTCAATTTTAGGGAGGGGCACCAAAAGGGGAGGGGGCGCCAACAAGGGGGCGCCTTTTCGGCAGGGGGGCGCCAACAGGCAACGTTACGCCACTGGGCCATTGTACCTGGCTTCTGACTGAAATGACCGTACAATTCAATCTAAATAGAGTTGTATATCATAACTTTACCCAGAAAATATTATTGGCTTTCACTCAATTTTCTTGAGCATAATATAGATGTTAGCTTGCAAACACAGACTTATATTGTGTGACACACAATAAGTAAAAAACTTTATGGATGTAGGAAGCACTTGACTAACCTCTAAGTTAATACACAAAATGAAATAACAGAAAGAAGGTGAATATGCTACGGTTCAAATTATAATCAGGCATGAACTCAATTCTTTTCTAGTCTACATCATAATTTAATTCTAAATGAGATCATGAAATACACGTTCAGGTGGTGTCATCAATAATAGAAGCTCTCACCACTAATAATAACAAATCTCAAAACAAATTTCTAACATGCAGATATTTCAAACCCCTTAAATTTAACACAATTAAATTTAGCTTGATTCCCTTTTTAGTTGATGTCATTTGTCTTCTCAAAGAGTTGTGTCCATGCAAAAGATGTATTGAGTAGTTTGTTTGACCTTAAAGCTGAGAAAAGCTTTTGTGATGTTATCCTTGTTGTGGGTAAACTAGAGGTAAGAGCTTTTTCATTACGTAAAGTTTTGAGGACATAATAATGTATTCCAAAAAAGCCATATATTCCTTTTATATTCCATGCTTATCAATTAAATTCCAATCAATAAAACATTTGCACATTTACCTTTATGTTTTCCTTAATTTCACATTTAATTTCACTTTTAACTTCAATTTCATGTTCAACTTTACTTTCACAATAATTGTTGATATTCAGATCTATGCACATCGAGTAGTCCTAGCAACCACTAGCACCTACTTCAAAGCTCTGTTTGATGACGGCTTTCTTGAGAAAAACAGCTTCAGAATAGAACTATACGATGTGGACGGAGAAGCAGTGAACACTCTGATTAACTTCATCTACACTGGACAGTTCGAGATTACCATGAACAATGTTAGTCATTATAGTGGCGTCACTTGTGATATATATGAAATAATAATAGATTCATAATTATGATTTTATAATGTTCCACAGTCTGCGCACACACAATGCTTTGCTGTCGCTACATTCCACAATTTTCCACACGAATTACTAACCTCTACATTCCTGAGCAAGCTTTAAATCAATGACAATGCCTGAATAATTGTGTTATATTAATTGAATTCCGAGGTGAAGGTTTTACCAGATTTGTTATGAGTCCTTTTGTGTTATAGTTTGCATCTTTACGCCAACGGGAGCCAGAATTATGGGCTATTATTTCACTCGCAATCATGCCATAAGGAGTAAGGACAGATACCAGAAAGTTACACAGTCGTAATAATTGTTTTGTTTGCAAGTCAGTGCTCCTCTTACTTCTCAAGTTTTACCCTCTCAATCCGTCAGGCCAAGTCACTGTTAGCGGTATCAGACATGCTACATCTATTGGACGCTAAGGAAGCGTGTTGCGAGTTTATGACACACAACTTGTCAACAGAGAATTGTTTAGAAATCATGTTGTTCAGTGATCGACACTCCTGTCTTAGCTTAAAAACTGCTGCTGTCAGGTTTCTATTCTTTGGTTATTAAATTTGACATGGCTTTCTTAATTATTTCCAAATTTCCATGTATTTTGTATGATCTTCCTGGAGCCAGATTTTGAATTAATTGATCATCATTTGACCAAATTATTTGAATGCGCTTTGCCGAATGAACATTTACTTTTACCAGATGGGGAGAAGAGCACTTCAGTGAACTTGTAGAAAGTAGAAGATACTTAATGTTACCTGCTGATGCACTCGTCTCTTTCCTCTCCTCTGATAGACTAAACGCAGTGTGCGAGAGTCAGGTTTGGAATTTCTTTGCTTTATTTCACTTTTAATCTCACATTCAGACCAGTGCAACTAAAATGTTTTTTGTCTGGATTTAAATTAATTTTGCTAAGTTTCACTTGACACCACTCGTCTCTTATTCTTATCTTCCAATGCCAGTACCACTTGTTGCTGGAATGTTTCAATATTGATTCATTTACTATTGATACTGTTTGATTGTGCCGTAAAAACAAATAATTGTTTTATTAAATAATTGTTTTATAAATAAATTCCCCACATTCCTGTCAGGTTTACAAGTGTGTATCAGAGTGGGCAGATGATAAGGTAGATGAGAACGGTGTTCTGTCTGCACTAATGCTGCAGTGTCTGGATACTCTGCTCGACTGTATTCGCTTCCCTAGATTACCTGTACCTTTCCTTGTTGAGACTGCCTCTAGCAATAAGGTACTTTCACTTTCACTTTCACTTTCACCACGATTTCGACTTTCACTTTAATTGTCCGTGCCACCATGGAGGCGGGGTTTTGGCAAAATTTGTGGGTTTTAAAGGGGAATACATGATGCAGGTTTTATGCTCACTGCCTCTTAGGGTATATTGATGTGAGAATCAAATATTTCTAATCGAGAGTATTTTTCAGGTTTTATTGCAAAGTTCCAAATTTCGTTTCCTCCTGGACAAAACTAAGACACTTCACCTGATGATAAACTGTTGTCCAGGTAAAAACTCACAATACTTTAAACTAGGGTTACTTTCACTTTCACCCCTACTTTTATCTTCACTTTTATCTTTACTTTCACTTTCACACAAACTGCTGATCAGGGTACGATACGGAGAAATACAGCTTACCACAGAAGCCCAGAGTTGGTTGTTACACTAACATAGTGTATATTATTGGTGGTGATGAAAAACATCAGAAACTCGAGATGTACGACCCATCAGGTTGATTGTTTATTTGTTTAAATTTTACAATTTTACTGTTGATTTTTATTATCATCCAGTCAACATTCCTAATCTGACGAGTATTGAGTATAACTATTAAGGCCAGAGGGGGGGGGGGGGGGGTAAACGCTCAAACATTTTTACAAAAATATTATTCTTTAAATGAATTCATTTTTTGATGACAAAAGTTTTGCTGCCATTCACATATTTGTAACTGCTTAACTTTTTTTGATAAATGAGGTTAACCGATTCTTACAAAATTAGGGTTACAACGTTGAGGTTACTAAAATTGAGGTTAAGATGTTATTTTACTCCAAGATTTTTTTGTTATTTCGGTAAGCAAATGTTAACTCTGAATTTTAGGTTCATAATTGTCAGTAAAAACGCTATCTAAACGTTTATAAATGAGGTTAACCTCTTAAATTAGGTATAGCGAAAATAGATTAGACGATAGAGTTGTTATTTTTATCGTAAGATTACGACATACAAATTTCTAAATAGATGTAGTGCTGATTCACTTAATTTTATCTCGAGAAAGTGTTGAAAATGAGGTTAACCATCACACTTGGTACTTTAAGAATTATTTACATACGATTCTTACTTTTGTTACGTACCACAATATCACAGTGAGGTATCTATTTGTATTACAATGCCTCAAATATTATCACATGACAAAGGTGATTTGGAATGACCATGTTTGAGTAGAAGAGTTCACCCGTAAATGGCTCAAAAATGAGGTTAACCTCTCATTTGTTGAATATCGGGCCAGTCAATCACATGTTAACCTCAAAAACTTTATCGTTACACTGGGCAAATGTTTTATTACATGTATAGCAATGTATTGATAAACCAATCCCAGTGTAATATGGTCTATAGCGAGGTTAACAATCATATTTTTACTACTATTACACGATATCATGATAGTTAACCTCATTTTTAGACAAATTTTGGTTTATGATGTTGATTTTCCCAATATAAAGTATCTCAATGAAGATCTTTACACCTTAAAGCAAAAATTGTATGGAGACGCTACTAAATACGGAAAATAATGCACAATTTGAGATTTTGGCAGTGAAATGAAAACACCAAAACTCGTTTTACTCGAAACGGTTTTTTTCATACCAAAATCCTTAACTTGAGAAGACTGGCCACACCCAGAAGCTGAAACTTGGCACAGGTGTTCTTTGGGGTGTTAGGCAAAAACGTTATGTTTTAGAATTTTGATTTTTGCCTTTGTTCTTGAAATATGAGGTTAACTTTACCCCAAATTCGAAATAAAATCGAATTTGGGTTAAAGTTAACCTCATATTTCAAGAACAAAGGCAAAAATCAAAATTCTAAAACATAACGTTTTTGCCTAACACCCCAAAGAACACCTGTGCCAAGTTTCAGCTTCTGGGTGTGGCCAGTCTTCACAAGTTAAGGTTTTTAAACTTTTTACAGTTTAAGTTAAAGGTTTACATGTAATTACAGGTAAACCTCAATATTTGGCGCGCGATATCTCAAAAACGCAACGTCAGATTTCGGTCCGGTTTTTTTCTTCTTGTTCGTCTCCAGCAGCTCTGATCAAATATGTGAAAACTGGAAAAACGAATTTTACCCCCCCCCCCCCTCTGGCCTTAAATATTAATGCCTAGATAAAATGAATCACGTGACTAAACTCCACCTCAGGCCTCCAATCACAAGAACTTACAGACCTACCCTCGTGTAAGATTGCAGCTGCAGTAGCTAAACTAGGCCGGTATATCTACGTAGTGGGTGGCAGGAATAGAGACGGTTTGGTGCTGAGTAGTGTTTTGAAGTTCTGTACTTACAATAATACTTGGGCTACTGCTAGTAAGATTAACGAGTGTAGGGCTAGTGGTGCTGCTGCCGTACTGGATGGTAAGTTAAAGTGAAGGTGACCCGTTTCAGATACTTTGTACATCAGCTGTCAAAATGAAAGTGGGATTGAAAGTGAAATATAAAATGAAAGTTACCCTCTCCTGACTCCACCATTAAAAAAGTTTGTGATTATGTGAAAGTGAAAGTGAAAGTGAAAGTGAAAGTGACCCTTCTCTTTCAGATAGTTTGTACGTGTGCGGCGGGTATAATGGCTACATAACCCTCTCCTCTGTTGAAGTTCTCTCTAAGGATGGGTTGTCATGGAAACAGCTCCCACCTATGAACCATCGTAGAAGTGACTTTGGTCTCCTACCTATCAAAGACAGGTTAGGGAGCTTCAGAACTTATTCAAGTTAAAAGTTATGAATTATATGGACACGTTCATTTGAGTTTGAGGATATTGGTAAATATTAGTGGAAACCCCCTCCCCCCTCGGCTGATTACGTAATATGTGAACACCACTTGACCCCAGGTTGTGGGCAGTAGGAGGGTATGACGAGTGTAACGGAGCTCCGCACTGCGTGGAGTCCTACAACGTGATAACCAAACAGTGGAGTGTAGTTTCACCACTGTTCACTAAGAGAGCTGGTATCAGCTGCTGTGTGTTGGATCATCTTATCTACGTTGTGTCTCATAACACACTTGAGAGATATAATACTCAGGTGGGTGGAGTTTTAGATTTTGGACTCGACCTGTGCCAGGTCTTTTGATTTCTTATGAAAGCCTCTTCCGAAAGTTGATATTATTTTGCAGCTCAATTTCACGTTTTTATCGTTATTTATCACTGATTTTGTGATGTGCCTTCAGTTATAAGTCAAAATATCACGTGATATCCTTATAAGGCGAAATCACTGTGATCACGTGTTTTCAGAATAACACGTGGGTAGAGATAAGCAAGAAGGAGCTACTCTCCCTGAACGACTGTACTTGTGTTGGCATTGGGGGTCATCTTTATATCTTTGGGGGAACTGAGAAGCTCAACTCTGTTGACAAGGTATATTACATTAGAAACATTGAATAGGATCAAATTTTTGACAGCTGTAAACAAGAAACCTCGTTCAATAATAATTACAGATCGTATTTTAATCTTAAGACCTTACCAAGTCTTTTATTAAGTCTTTTCAGACTTTATTTTAATCTCTTTATCTCAGGTGTTCAGATACGATGTTCACAGTGACACTTGGGATGAAGTTCCTGCAATGATACACTCTCGGGCTAAATGCTCGGTTATCAACGTGTAACGTGACGCCACGTGATGTGTGACGTCATGACACGTGGTGCGTGACGTCACGAAACTTGGTTAAATTATAATTTTTGTTACGATGTACGATATTAATGCTTGGGGAGATAGAATGATTTATGTTTCGTGGCAAATATTGTCTTGTATTAATTAATTAACAACAGTCCTTGAAGCATGTTCCGGACCGTTTTTCAAAACTCCTTTAAATCTCGGTTTTTTTCATAAATTATTTTATAAACATCCGACAGAACAGAAAACATTTTAACTTTTAAGTCTCATAGTAGACTTGTTTTAAAATATCTTATATTATTTTATTTCCTGTAAATATTAAGTTATACTTATATGGCGTTATGCCGATTTTACTTAAACTATACCAAATATTTGTATTTTAAACAGAACAAAAACTACAATTTTAATGTAAAAATCTTTATTTGTTTTAATGTAGATTATTCTTTAAAAATCTTTATAAATGTTTTAAAACGATTTTATCAACAAAACTGAGTAAGGACAGTGAAACAACAACTCAGTTCCGTATTTCTGACGTAGTTATATTTAGTTGATAGCGATGAAACTTATAATGCTTTTGGACACGAAGGGAAACACACAACGTAAGTCTTGAAATCTTCGTTGATACTTAACTGGCTGAAATAATTGATTAATTTCACATTAACTGAATAACTAACTCCGAGTAAAGTTAACTGAAACAGTTCTAAGTTTCACTTTATTTTGATATTAAACTAAAGGTGATTATCATGGCACCATTCTATAAACATGCCACGTTTTATTTTCTTACATTCTCAAAGATAAACTAATATATATTTTAACTAGATGACTTTTAATGTATTTGTTAAGTAAGGCTTTTGTCGACCTTTGCTATTTATTGATCAATTATCATCTTCATTTACCATATTTCTATAGATTTAACACGCATACGGTAGAATGATATCCTGGTAACGTGTCTCTTATAAACTTGTTATGTTAACTTGTTATGATCTAGAAAGTTCTAAATATAGTTATTATTTTAACTGCATCGAATGATATAATGTTCAAACGAGATTATGAGGGTTTCTCTTGGCTTAAAAATATGGAAGTATTAAATAAAATATAGTCAATTCATGATTAAATCATGTGTTTACATTATTTTCCCAAAAGTTAAATCTACACGAATCACGATATAATAAATTTTGCTGATAACTCAATATCATCTGATCGCCGCAACGTCCACAACCAACCAATCTAAATAAACCTTTAACCAATCCTAGCGCACCCTGTTCACAATGGTTGAGATAACAGATGACGAAGCAGCTCTGTATGACAGACAGATCAGATTGTGGGGGGTTGATGCACAGCGCTCCCTGCGCGCAGCTAACGTATTCGTTAAGCGCTGCGGGCCCCTGGTTAGTTGCTACATCCATTATTTAACGATTTCCGTCACGATAATTTGGGGGATTATCGTACAACGCCGAATAGAATATTCGTGATTTCACGTGGTATGACGTCACGCGACACGAAGTATGACGTCACGTGACACGAAGTATGACGTCACATGACACGAAGTATGACGTCACGTGACACGAAGTATGACGTCACATGACACGAAGTATGACGTCACGTGACATACAATATAATTACAGGGAGCGGAAGTGTGTAAGAACATAGTGTTGTCAGGTGTTAACTCCCTCACAATACTAGACACCAGGATAGTGGAGGAGAAACATTCTGCTACTAACTTCCTTATCAGAACCAACACCGGCAAATCATTTGCAGGTAAAGATATGCCAACTGTTTGTTTGTTATTTTACTCCGAGCGAATAAATCTTTGGTATATAATTTGTGATAAGATTACAATTGAGAATGGTTTGGAAGAAGATTCTATACGATTAAGTTAAAAACTTAACAAAGTGACGTCATCTCACTCACCATGTTTTACGTTATGACGTCACACCACGTTCCATGACGTCACACCACGTGCCATGACGTCACACTATATATTTCCCTCACAGAAACGTGTGTACCGAATCTGCAGATCTTAAACCCGCTAGTTAAAGTAGATTACGTTACGGAGGATCTGACGGAGGACACTATCAAACAGTACTCTGTTGTCTGTATTACAGGTGTAATATCTTGCCTTTATTTGGATCTTTCTAATTCGCTCTTGTGATCCTTTAGTCTCAATTCTAATTTTAGTTTCACTTTTGCTTTCACTTTCTCCTCAGACGGCAGTAAGACGGAGTATGAGGAGACAAACAAGCTATGTCGGATACACGGGGCTATGTTCCTAGCTACAAATACCTGGGGTATGACGGGGTTCATGTTCCAGGACTGTGGGGAAAAGTACAAGTACATCGCAGAGAAACCTAAAATAGCGCGCGGCAAGGTTAGTTACAAACCATTAACCACGTGACACGACTAACTGTTTGAAACGTGTGACACGATGGTACACCACGTGATATGACGTCACAGACCACGTGACATGACATCACGTTATTACAGGCGAGTGAGAAGCAGGACACTAAGAGACGGAAGGTGGAGGAAGATAACTCAGAGTACGAAGAGAGAGTTGCTCACTTTACCCAGTACAGCAATGTTGCTCCCTTATCTTCTCTTAAGTTCTCCTCCCCTGCTGTGCTTATAACTCACGGTAAAAGAATAAGTGTCTTGTTATGTGCCTTTTTTGTAATCATAAAATTGTTAAAAATAACGAACATTTGTGATTGTTTTGCAATTTCTGCCATCGGTAAAACAATTAAATTGGAAAATGTATTTTCACTTTTATTTATTTACTCCTCCAGGAATTTTAAACGAAGTAGCGGATCTAGGGGAGCACTGTAAAACAATGTGTCAGAAAATAGGAGGAAAAGAGGTTCCTGAGGAACTGATCAGGTAGAACAGGGTGGAAGGAAATTTTCTAATTTTTACTCGAATTAGTACTAATACGATAATTATAATTAGATGATTACTAAATGTGTGATTGCTAATTTGATGATCTCAAATTTAATAATTCACCAGGAACGTGTCTGGGGAACTAGTACCAATTTGTGCAATAGTTGGAGGGATTGTCAGTCAGGAGATAATAAAGATAGTCAGCAAGAAAGATGATCCTATAGTCAACAGCTTGTACTTTGATGGACTTTCAGGGGCGGGTATAATTGAGAACTTCAGGTGTTGCGAGTTTAAGAAGTAAACATACTTTCACTTTCACTTTCACTTTGTTGAAAGTTTGTGAAGTTAAGAAATAGGAATTATATCAAACCGTTTTAATGAAGCTGTTAATCATGTTGATGTTGAATTTTCTTGAAGGTATCTGCTGGTTATACTGAGTACTAACTGATGGTACTGACTGGCATGGTAGCGATTTCTTCTTTCACTTTCACTTTCTCCTGCAGTTTATAATTTTTACTGATGGTGTTGGTTGACTAAATTTTTAATTTTTAATCACAAGGAGTTGTTTTTGTTAAAGATATACATTATACATTTAAATTAGGGTTAATTCAGCTAGCTAATCTATCTGAGGGAACATTTACTCGATTGTGAATTCCACTCATTTATTACTGTGAACAAGCATTGTCACGCTGTACTATTTCTTTTGACTACACGAGAACGAAAATATAATTATTTGGTATGCTGTATAAGATGTTACATTTTGTTATCAACTTCATAATAAGATAATAGGACGTACGATTTAATTTATCTTACATTTATTTATATCACATTAAGTCGCTGAATTTTATTGATTTTTATCGTTCCAACAAAAAATGGAAATACTAAACTGTCAAACTTATTTTTACATAAGATTGAAATTTAAGATGAAATTTGAAAATATGACATCAAAACGAAAAAAAGTGTGCAATATCATTAGAAAAGGACTGCTTATTTTAATTAAAAACAAAGTTACGAATCTTTTTCACATTTCGATTCACATATTAATACAATAAAACTGTTTAATATTAGAGGTATAAGAATGCTTACATCAGCAGAAGAAGAATTAAACATAGACAGAGGACATGTTAACAAAGCAGAAAACACTCAGCAAGTGAAAGAGAAACACAAAGAGAAACTGAAAACTAAGGAATCTGTAGAGATTCCAGGGAAAGAATCGGATATTGATAGGGGAGTAGCAGTTGATAACAAAATCTCAGTTCAGATCGGAGATATCGTCTTAAGTGAGATACGGGTTGTAGGAATTCCAAAAGAATCTAAACTAAATGAAACAGTCACCACCAGCGGGAAGTTTGTAAGTAGCGAGAAACAACAGGAAGAAAAATGCAATGAGGCTCATAGTGAAAAAGAAAGAGAAAGTGAAAGTGATAGTAGCAAAGAAGGTAAAACAGAGAAGATGTTCAGAACGCTTTCTATAGAGACGGATATAAATGTGGCACCAGATAACTGGCTGAGAGGAGACGAGAAGCTGGCTCCAATGGGTCAGTTACTGTTTTTAAGCAATGTTTTATACTTCACCCTTGAGTTTTGTGTTTTCCGTACGAGAAATAACATGACGTCATACCACGTGACATGACGTCATACCACGTGACATGACGTCATACCACGTGACATGACGTCACACCAAGTGTTTCAGTACAAGAGTCCTGCTACTGGTCTATTAGTGATGCTCCTGAACTCTCCTCAATTCACATGGCTGCCCAGCACGCTAAGAAACTGCTATCTGCTGACGTGATCTCGGACTCCAGGTCGATATAATTCAGTTTCACTTTAAATTTCACTTTCACTTGCTGAAACACGTATATACCTTTAGATAACTTCAGCTTGTATTTAAACACTGCTCTATTTTAACATACTACCATATTATTATCTCGTATAGAATGTAACAGTTGTTAGTTGGCTGATGTAACTGCCTTCTGTAAGCGCCTTCTACACACTAATATCACAATATGAAAGGTTTCGTTTAATTTGCATCATAAAAACAGTTACATGCGCTGTATCTCATTCTGTGTGAAAGGGTTATAAAAGTTTAAGAGTATTTAGGATGTTTTACTGACTTTGAAAGTGGAAGTATCCCAACTTTTGAAGAACTAGAAACAATATTGACTTAGGTACAGAAAATAATCAAGTTATGCATAATGCAGTCTATGATCACTCAACATAAAATATCAATAATATCAAGACGCAACTGTGAACTGAACCACTTAACCAATGTAATAGAACACCAAAAAGCGACTTGACACCTGATGAGCAATTTATTAATACTTTAGGCTCTCCTCCCCAATTATGTTATTACGCACGCAGTTGAACCCAATCTTCAGTCCATTAAACAATTATCAAGACCAACCTTCAGGAAATTTATTTGAAAACCTGATATAACACCTTTGTTGTAGAGGTCCAAGGCAACCGCATTGCTTCGAGTACCAAAAGGGAACCACCCAAGGAAATTTTCCCGGGGGGACTATCATAATAGTCGCTTGTAAAAATAAAACAGGGGCCAATAAGAATGCTGCGTTAAACTTAACACAAATTTACCAAAAGGAAGTCTCTCCCAAACATTACGGCTTAAAACTGGCAGTGTAAAACTTTGGGGGGTTACTTCCTCGGGGGGGGTTTTTGGGGGTTGGGGGGGGGGGGGTGGGGGGGGTGGGGGGGGGGGGGGGGGGGGGTGGGGGGGGGGGGGGGGGGGGGGGGGGGGGGGGGGGGGTGTTTTTGGGGGGGGGGGGGGGGGGGGGGGGGGGTTAAAATTGGGGGGGGGGGGGGGGGGGGGGGGGGGGGGGGGGGGGGGGGGGGGGGGGGGGGGGGGGGGGGGGTTTTAAAGGGGGGGGTTTAACCCCGAAATTTTTGAATTTTGTCCTTAAAAGATTTCAATATTCATAAAATTCAAGAGAAGTAGGAAAAAATTTTAAACCCCGTTTATTGAAGTTTTATTAAAGTCGAGTTCTTTGTGACGTTTATTAATAAAATCCCAATGTCTTTGAGCCCTCTCCCCAAATACGGGAAATTTTTTCTCAATCTGAAAAGTTCGGGCCGAGAAAGTTGAAAACTTTTTAAACCTTATTAAAAAAAACTTGGCTTTGGAATTCATTTCATTTAAAATTCTTGCTTTGGGAAAATCTAAATTTAATTTTGAAAAAAAAAATTTGGGGAATTTCTAATAACCAGGTTCAACAAAAAAACCCAAAAATTCCTGTAATTTTTGATTTTGTTCAAAAAAATCATTATCCTTTTTCAAAGACCCCCAAAAAAAATACATTAATTTTCGGCCCCAACCGGAAAGCCCCCTTAAAATTTTAAAAAAAAAACGAATCGCTTTGATGAGAATTTTAATACTTTTAAGTTCTTTCAAAATTTTGTATAAGCACGCGTTTGGAAAATTTTAGATTTAAACAAACGGAATCCACCCCTTTAAGAAAATTTAATTCCCGGGAATATATTATTTGTTGTAATGAGTTTCATTTCAACCACATTCCTTGGATAAGTGAAGAAAAGATTCCAAGTTGCTAGCGAAAATTGGTAGAACAAAATAATCTGCGGGAAAAAAGTATAAGCGGGGGCGTATTTAAAAATACAAACCCAAAAAACAATAAAATTTTCAATTACCATTTTAATTGGTTAGCAGGCTTAAATCTTTTTACTTGGGGTTTTGCAGGGGGGGGGTTTTTAACCGGGCAATTTGAAAACCTGATACCCAATGAAATTTTTACGGAAATGCTTAATGGTAAAAGTCAGAAGAAAAATAAAAAATTCAAGGGAATATTTAAGAAAAATTTACCCCCGGGTTAAAAACGTTAAAAATATAATTCTTTCTAGTCCCCTGCTACACGGCATGTAAACAGGGATTGGCTAGTTAGAGGCGGTCCGTGTAGGCCTTACACTGTGCTTTCAGCAATACTCATAAGTATTTCCGTGGCTGTGGTTGCAATGCGCCTAGTCTACTGGAATGATTCTTCGGAATTTCGCTGGATTGCACAACTTTCGTCTTGGTAGATTCCAAACACAAGGAAATTTTCCTTTTGGTTGTTAATATACTCAATGATGGGAGTACAGTGTATTGGCTATGCCCCGCTTACTAGTTAAGCCCTTTCTAGTCCCCTGCTACACGTAACGGCATGTAAACAGGGATGGCTAGTTATAGGCGGTCCGTGTAGGCCTTACACTGTGCTTTCAGCAATACTCATAAGTTCTAAGTAATGACTTGTGAGCCTCATTTTCCCCTCAATTAGCGAGAAAATTTCCCTCTTCTCTTCGGAATCTGAAAGAGTTCGACCTGATGAATCGATTGAACACGTTTAAACTTTTATTACATACTTGGAAACTATAGACATGTGAAATATCATATGCCTATCTTAAAAGTTCTTGCTGTGACAATCTTCTAAAGTTAAATTTGGAAAAACGTGGTCCATCTCGTGCGAACTTTCCTAATGACCAGGGTCTCTAACAATAATACCACACAGGAACATTAAGAAGCTACTGAAGATAGCAAAAGACGTGGAAGAAGTTAGCATGGCAGTTCACAGAATAGGTACTATTAATATTATACTTATATTGTACCTTACTGTCATGAAGATGTAACTAGGTGAGCCCGAGCTAATAGTCGTTACTAGTGTGCGGCTTTACCTGTAGTCTACAAGTAGAGCCGCGCACTGGTAGCGACTATTAGCTCGGTCTCACCTATTAGCTCGGTCTCACCTATTAGCTCGGTCTCACCTATTAGCTCGGTCTCACCTATTAGCTCGGTCTCACCTAGTTACATCTTCGTGACAGCTAAATTCATTTGATTATTTATATTTGAATATTGCGCTCTATTGAATAAAAAATACAGTTACAGAACAGAAGACTCTCATATGTTTACCTCGCGTATTTCACTATTTCACTATTTCACTACTCAGGTAAAACGCTGTTACTGGACGAGTTTCCAATAGAAAGTTACATTCCACAACGTCACGAGAAGCTAAGTAAGAAGAAGAAGAAGAAAAAGAAGAGCGCAACTCACGTCAATACTATATCTAAGTTCTTGTATCACACTCTACTGCAGAATAACCACATTGAAGCCCCCGATTCTAATGTTGTGGTGAGTGTAATGGCGGTACTTCGCTTTACTTTCGCTTTACTTTCGCTTTACTTTCGCTTCCTTATTTAAATTACTGGACGATGAACGCAACACCAAACAGTAAACATTGTTTTATTTTTATGTTACTCTAAAATGTTAAACAAATAAAATATTCAATTTTACATCAGATGAATTAATATAACAAGATAACTATATTTTTCTTGGAGAAGTTATCTTTTGACTCTTAAGGTTGCGAACAAAATGAAGAAGCAGACTTTAGGCTAGAAACTTTATAAGATAACTATAACAAACAAATATTACTTTCACTTTCACTTTCTCTTTCACTATCTGTTTAGACTGGGCTTTCACATACCAGGTCAGACGAAAGTCGTTAACTAATAACGATATAATAGTTGGAATGGGAGACCCACTCTCCAAGATAACGCTGGAATTACCACAAGTTCTGAACAGTAAGCTTTACTCGCCTCCAGACTATAATAGGACTGTGTTTTGGGAGTTTGAGGATATCCAGATGTTACTAGGTTAGTCATAATACTTTCACTTTCACTTTCACTTTCACTTTCACTTTCACTTTCACTTTCACTTTCACTTTCACTTTCACTTTCACTTTCACTACAATCTTTTTTCTTTAGTTTGATGATATCCAGATGTTACTAGGTTCTGTATTCTGTTTACTTGTGCCCTTGTGGCGTGTTTTCTCCAGCTTGATACAACATAACATCATAACACGTGTTATGAAATTACACCACGTGGCATGACGTCATTATACCACGTGACATGACGTCACTATCTGGCAGGTAACAACATGCCCATATTTGGAGGGGGAGAGTACCCAGCTATCAGTCTCAAACTACGGGATATGAAGGAGCAGATCAACGTTCTAACTGGTTAGTATTGGATATTACAACTAGCAGTTATTATTATATTCCCACGGTTCATTCTAATGTTTTACTCACGTTTTAGTTGGAGTTTGATAAATATTTTTGGATTGATTTGTTTTATATTTTCACATTATGCTCGATCATTAGTAATAGTAAGTACAGACAACATTAGCAATTACATAAGCAATCGCATTCTTTGTCTATTACTTTATCTACTTTGTCTATTACTTTGTCTATCACTTTGTCTATTACTTTGTCTATTACTTTGTCTATTACTCAGGTATTGACTGCTGGCTTGATAACCTAATATGTAATGTTCCTGAGTTGGCTATGTGCTGGCATTTGGACGGGTTTATACAGGTACTTTTACTAATTACTTTCATTTTAACTCAAAATGGGATAATTGCTTTCACTTTTACTAAAATATCCAGGTTACTTTATTTCACTTTTACTGTTATAATATTACTAAATACAGGTTACTTGTTTTCCTTTACACAACAAACAATCGACACTTCATCTCTTATCATGAGTCGACCCAAAGATACGAGCTTCTGTTTCACTTTCACTTTCACTTCCAGGGATACGAGTTGTACAAGACAGAGGAGATACCTGACCTTGAGAACTGCAAGTTTGACCCCGTTGTCATTAAAGACCTCGCCACTAACGTACTCAAATTCTTAAAGGTATGATATCCCTAGCACCTCTAATTTTATTTTCTGTTTCACTATTTATTTCACTTTCACTTTTATCATTTTAGTTTCCATCAATTTCTTGGTGTCATTCTGTTCTTTGCATAGTGTTGCTTCCCTCGCCGGTTAACGTCAATATTTCTCATTTTCTCTTTCTCTTTCCAGAGCCGATGTGTTAACATTTCACTTTCTCTTCCTAAAACAGTGTTAACATTTCACTTTCTCTTTTCAGAGCCGATGTGTGAAGGAAGGACACACTTATTGGTTGTACCGAGCTAAAGGTGACGATATAGTGAAACTATACGATCTCAGTTCTATTTGTACCGGTATCAACCTCACTGAGATGAACCCTTTCTCTACTCCTGTAGCTATGCTGTGTTTTAAGGTACTTATTGACAAGATCCCGAAAACTACTTATGTAGTAATAGAGCTTAGTTGAAGCTTAGTAAGAGCTTTATTATAGCTTAATTATAGCTTTGTGCGTGCTTAGTTTGAGTAGATTATTAACCAGCGACTCTGAAATAATTAATCTACAATTCCATTTGTTTGTCCCACTCGTACCCCCAGTCTGTTGTCTTACTTCCCTGACTGTTTAGGTAGCACAGCGACTATACGAAGAAGCACGCCCTGAGGACCGCAATACAATTTACACACTTTTACAGAACACCCTCAACCTCATACCCTCCAAAACTTACCCTCAGGTAATTTACATTATGTTGTTTGTTTCCTAGGAATGTCTTTCAAATTAATCACTTAGTCGAATAGAGATTCAAGAAAATCGATTGACATTTCTTAAATATACTATGCCGGGAATCGGTCGCGAGGGCGGAATTCGCGAGGGGGAGGTATGCGACTAAAAACGACCAGTTAATCCTCTACATTAGTGCTTTTCATTAACAAATCAGACATATTTAGTAGTCAGGGCTATGTAGTCACGTGGTATGCGGTCACGTGGTATGTAGTCACGTGGTATTACACCCCAGTAACAGACTTTCCTTCAGATGGAAGCTACTGCTCACTTCATGATTGCAGACTTATTCCTTTCCAACACGTTTACAGTAACTAAAGAGAAGAAAATCAGACTTACCGTTCAGCCCCTCTTCGAGTGTCAGTGAGTCAATCAGTTTCGCTCTCTCTTTCTAATCTCACTTTCACTTGCACTTTGAATTCAGTTGCACTTTCACTTTCTCTTCATCAGGTTTGAGAACCTGCCCAACCTGTTTGAGTGTTCAATTAAGCGCGATCTTCTTGACACAGCATGGGAACCTCCTCAACAGCAGTATTATTGGAACAACATTGCACCTGATTTACAGGTTCAGAAGAAAATGTCACTGACGCACATTGTAGCCGCGCTTGATTTGGTGAGTTGTCATAATATAATTACTCTCTTTTAATATAAAAGGTCTCTCAATAATAATCTTCCATTATTTGAAAATGGGACAGACTTTTGAAAATGTGAATTTTCGTTTTGGAAAACTTTCTGCAGTAAGCTTCCTCCGACCGGAATCAAACTTCCAGCACCTCAATTGTGTCAAATGGCATCTATAGTTGACTGACTAATTGGTTACTGGATCGAAATTCAGTCAAAACTGTAAAATTTCGGTCCTGGAAATTTCCTCTTCAAAAACTGAAAATGGGACAAGAAATTGGAGAATATGATTTTACCATTTTTTCGGCGATTTTGACTTCCAGTACCCCAATTTGGTCTCATACCATCCTCAGTCAACTGAATAATTGGTCGCTGGGCAAAAAGTCCATCAAATGTGTCAAATTTCTGTTCAGAAATTTTGATATTTGAAAATGGGACAGACTTTTGAAAATGTGAATTTTCGTTTTGGAAAACTTTCTGCAGTAAGCTTCCTCCGACCGGAATCAAACTTCCAGCACCTCAATTGTGTCAAATGGCATCTATAGTTGACTGACTAATTGGTTACTGGATCGAAATTCAGTCAAAACTGTAAAATTTCGGTCCTGGAAATTTCCTCTTCAAAAACTGAAAATGGGACAAGAAATTGGAGAATATGATTTTACCATTTTTTCGGCGATTTTGACTTCCAGTACCCCAATTTGGTCTCATACCATCCTCAGTCAACTGAATAATTGGTCGCTGGGCAAAAAGTCCATCAAATGTGTCAAATTTCTGTTCAGAAATTTTGATATTTGAAAATGGGACAGACTTTTGAAAATGTGAACTTTCGTTTTGGAAAACTTTCTGCAGTAAGCTTCCTCCGACCGGAATCAAACTTCCAGCACCTCAATTGTGTCAAATGGCATCTATAGTTGACTGACTAATTGGTTACTGGATCGAAATTCAGTCAAAACTGTAAAATTTCGGTCCTGGAAATTTCCTCTTCAAAAACTGAAAATGGGACAAGAAATTGGAGAATATGATTTTACCATTTTTTCGGCGATTTTGACTTTCAGTACCCCAATTTGGTCTCATACCATCCTCAGTCAACTGAATAATTGGTCGCTGGGCAAAAAGTCCATCAAATGTGTCAAATTTCTGTTCAGAAATTTTGATATTTGAAAATGGGACAGACTTTTGAAAATGTGAATTTTCGTTTTGGAAAACTTTCTGCAGTAAGCTTCCTCCGACCGGAATCAAACTTCCAGCACCTCAATTGTGTCAAATGGCATCTATAGTTGACTGACTAATTGGTTACTGGATCGAAATTCAGTCAAAACTGTAAAATTTCGGTCCTGGAAATTTCCTCTTCAAAAACTGAAAATGGGACAAGAAATTGGAGAATATGACTTTACCATTTTTTCGGCGATTTTGACTTCCAGTACCCCAATTTGGTCTCATACCATCCTCAGTCAACTGAATAATTGGTCGCTGGGCAAAAAGTCCATCAAATGTGTCAAATTTCTGTTCAGAAATTTTGATATTTGAAAATGGGACAGACTTTTGAAAATGTGAATTTTCGTTTTGGAAAACTTTCTGCAGTAAGCTTCCTCCGACCGGAATCAAACTTCCAGCACCTCAATTGTGTCAAATGGCATCTATAGTTGACTGACTAATTGGTTACTGGATCGAAATTCAGTCAAAACTGTAAAATTTCGGTCCTGGAAATTTCCTCTTCAAAAACTGAAAATGGGACAAGAAATTGGAGAATATGATTTTACCATTTGTTCGGCGATTTTGACTTCCAGTACCCCAATTTGGTCTCATACCATCCTCGGTCAACTGAATAATTGGTCGCTGGGCAAAAAGTCCATCAAATGTGTCAAATTTCTGTTCAGAAATTTTGATATTTGAAAATGGGACAGACTTTTGAAAATGTGAATTTTCGTTTTGGAAAACTTTCTGCAGTAAGCTTCCTCCGACCGGAATCAAACTTCCAGCACCTCAATTGTGTCAAATGGCATCTATAGTTGACTGACTAATTGGTTACTGGATCGAAATTCAGTCAAAACTGTAAAATTTCGGTCCTGGAAATTTCCTCTTCAAAAACTGAAAATGGGACAAGAAATTGGAGAATATGATTTTACCATTTGTTCGGCGATTTTGACTTCCAGTACCCCAATTTGGTCTCATACCATCCTCAGTCAACTGAATAATTGGTCGCTGGGCAAAAAGTCCATCAAATGTGTCAAATTTCTGTTCAGAAATTTTGATATTTGAAAATGGGACAGACTTTTGAAAATGTGAATTTTCGTTTTGGAAAACTTTCTGCAGTAAGCTTCCTCCGACCGGAATCAAACTTCCAGCACCTCAATTGTGTCAAATGGCATCTATAGTTGACTGACTAATTGGTTACTGGATCGAAATTCAGTCAAAACTGTAAAATTTCGGTCCTGGAAATTTCCTCTTCAAAAACTGAAAATGGGACAAGAAATTGGAGAATATGACTTTACCATTTTTTCGGCGATTTTGACTTCCACTACCCCAAATTGGTCTCATACCATCCTCAGTCAACTGAATAATTGGTCGCTGGGCAAAAAGTCCATCAAATGTGTCAAATTTCTGTTCAGAAATTTTGATATTTGAAAATGGGACAGACTTTTAAAATGTGAATTTTCGTTTTGGAAAACTTTCTACAGTAAGCTTCCTCCGACCGGAATCAAACTTCCAGCACCTCATTTGTGTCAAATGGCATCTATAGTTGACTGACTAATTGGTTACTGGATCGAAATTCAGTCAAAACTGTAAAATTTCGGTCCTGGAAATTTCCTCTTCAAAAACTGAAAATGGGACAAGAAATTGGAGAATATGACTTTACCATTTTTTTGGCGATTTTGACTTCCAGTACCCCAAATTGGTCTCATACCATCCTCAGTGAACTGAATAATTGGTCGCTGGGCAAAAAGTCCATCAAATGTGTCAAATTTCTGTTCAGAAATTTTGATATAATTTGAAAATGGGACAGACTTTTGAAAATGTGAACTTTCGTTTTGGAAAACTTTCTGCAGTAAGCTTCCTCCGACCGGAATCAAACTTCCAGCATCTCAATTGTGTCAAATGGCATCTATAGTTGACTGACTAATTGGTTACTGGATCGAAATTCAGTCAAAACTGTAAAATTTCGGTCCTGGAAATTTCCTCTTCAAAAACTGAAAATGGGACAAGAAATTGGAGAATATGACTTTACCATTTTTTCGGCGATTTTGACTTCCAGTACCCCAATTTGGTCTCATACCATCCTCAGTCAACTGAATAATTGGTCGCTGGGCAAAAAGTCCATCAAATGTGTCAAATTTCTGTTCAGAAATTTTGATATTTGAAAATGGGACAGACTTTTGAAAATGTGAATTTTCGTTTTGGAAAACTTTCTGCAGTAAGCTTCCCCCGACCGGAATCAAACTTCCAGCACCTCAAATGTGTCAAATGGCATCTATAGTTGACTGACTAATTGGTTACTGGATCGAAATTCAGTCAAAACTGTAAAATTTCGGTTCTGGAAATTTCCTCTTCAAAAACTGAAAATGGGACAAGAAATTGGAGAATATGATTTTACCATTTGTTCGGCGATTTTGACTTTCAGTACCCCAATTTGGTCTCATACCATCCTCAGTCAACTGAATAATTGGTCGCTGGGCAAAAAGTCCATCAAATGTGTCAAATTTCTGTTCAGAAATTTTGATATTTGAAAATGGGACAGACTTTTGAAAATGTGAATTTTCGTTTTGGAAAACTTTCTGCAGTAAGCTTCCCCCGACCGGAATCAAACTTCCAGCACCTCAATTGTGTCAAATGGCATCTATAGTTGACTGACTAATTGGTTACTGGATCGAAATTCAGTCAAAACTGTAAAATTTCGGTCCTGGAAATTTCCTCTTCAAAAACTGAAAATGGGACAAGAAATTGGAGAATATGACTTTACCATTTTTTCGGCGATTTTGACTTCCAGTACCCCAAATTGGTCTCATACCATCCTTGGTCAACTGAATAATTGGTCGCTGGGCAAAAAGTCCATCAAATGTGTCAAATTTCTGTTCAGAAATTTTGATATTTGAAAATGGGACAGACTTTTGAAAATGTGAATTTTCGTTTTGGAAAACTTTCTGCAGTAAGCTTCCTCCGACCGGAATCAAACTTCCAGCACCTCAATTGTGTCAAATGGCATCTATAGTTGACTGACTAATTGGTTACTGGATCGAAATTCAGTCAAAACTGTAAAATTTCGGTCCTGGAAATTTCCTCTTCAAAAACTGAAAATGGGACAAGAAATTGGAGAATATGACTTTACCATTTTTTCGGCGATTTTGACTTCCAGTACCCCAATTTGGTCTCATACCATCCTCAGTCAACTGAATAATTGGTCGCTGGGCAAAAAGTCCATCAAATGTGTCAAATTTCTGTTCAGAAATTTTGATATTTGAAAATGGGACAGACTTTTAAAAAGGTGAATTTTCGTTTTGGAAAACTTTCTACAGTAAGCTTCCTCCGACCGGAATCAAACTTCCAGCACCTCATTTGTGTCAAATGGCATCTATAGTTGACTGACTAATTGGTTACTGGATCGAAATTCAGTCAAAACTGTAAAATTTCGGTCCTGGAAATTTCCTCTTCAAAAACTGAAAATGGGACAAGAAATTGGAGAATATGACTTTACCATTTTTTTGGCGATTTTGACTTCCAGTACCCCAAATTGGTCTCATACCATCCTCAGTCAACTAAATAATTGGTCGCTGGGCAAAAAGTCCATCAAATGTGTCGAATTTCTGTTCAGAAATTTTGATATTAATTTGAAAATGGGACAGACTTTTGAAAATGTGAACTTTCGTTTTGGAAAACTTTCTGCAGTAAGCTTCCTCCGACCGGAATCAAACTTCCAGCATCTCAATTGTGTCAAATGGCATCTATAGTTGACTGACTAATTGGTTACTGGATCGAAATTCAGTCAAAACTGTAAAA